CATGGAATCGAGGAATCACACCTTCTTCGGAAGGCTGACCAAAAAAAATGCATATTGTGGTCCCCGTATATATAGAAAAACAAGATAGAAACGGTTTCTACATTCTTAGTGGGGATTCTACTTTCCTATCTATTTCATTCTATTATTTATTTCGGGGTTTATAGACCTTTCAATACAACTTTCTCCTCAACAATTCAACACCACAACCGCTGTGTTTGCTCCCAGCGGGGCACCGGAAGCGTCCGCCGCATCCGCTACATCGGCGGTACCTGCAGAAGCGAGCACGCTCCCAAGCAGCAGCAGATGTCTTCTTGGTTCGGATATGTGCGGATTCTGTGAGCAGCTCATCTGAACGAGAGTCCATCCTAGCGCTGACCGCCCTGGAGGTCTGGAGACCCGTTTACGTAGGGCGGAGATATCCAGCCAGGTGACCCCAAACGGAAGCAGCTGGATTTTGCTCATACACTCCCGACAAACTAACATAGACCCTGACGTCCTGGCCCCCCTGGGTTCGGGTGTTTTCATCCTCTACCAACCGACGTGGTGTACTCAGGGTCCATAGGATCGTCGCCACCAGGGTGTATCGATCAGTTTCTTCTTGGTTTGGTCCTCGAGATCACCCCAGAGTGGACGCCGGAGTGGACATGCGCCTGCGCCTCAGCCGCCCATCCGGACGCTGTATCGGCCATCTCCAGGTATGGTATGCATGCCAGTGGGCCGGTGGTCAATGAGACGTGTCTGGGGCAAGAGATGGTACATGAGTCTTCCGGATGCTTCTTTCCGGAAGCGAACCTCACCCACTTCATGACCCCACTTCCGGAAAGACATGCCCTGGCAGCGTGACCCGCTTCAACCGCTGACCTCTCGCCTTCGCTGAGCGCTTGCTGACCTCCGTCCCTCCCTGTGCCCAGCGGGATATTGGCCACCTGCAGGGGTCGTCTCTGGTGTCTTGGGACCTCGGCGCAAGCTGCGATGGACAGGGATCGGTTCAAAGGTGTTCCCCGGGCCGCAGCGTAGTCCACAAGGAATGCCCCGTGAGGTGTGGAAGTTGGAAGATAGTGAATTTGCTGCCCCATGCTATCTAGATCCCTATATCGAAAAGAGAGGATTCATTTTTCCGAAGTGTCCCACCTGTGCTTGTTTAGTGGGGAAACCAATCCCACAAATACAAAAAGATTAAATGATGGTTAAATGATGTTAAATGTTATCCACTGACTGGGTAGGGTTCACAGTGCATGTCGATCGGTTTGGGAGTTCGGCATTGAACAACGCGCCCATCGTGCCGGAGAAGCCTCATCCTACGGGCTGGACTGCCCCAGGGGCAGGGCGTGAAACGAAGTTAAGACTGGAGTCCTTCCCCGACGCGATCTGTCTGGGACCGCGTTCTGCCGCCCCAGACCTCCCTGGCACCCCAACGGCCGGCCGTGAGTTACTCAGTCACTGGCAGTCGATGGCCGCGGCGGGGCGATGGGGGAGATGGATCACACACACCCATGGGACTCATGGTACCCTTCGTTCGTACTCGCGCGGCTGTGAGTGGAATGGAACACCCAGCCGAGCCAACACCGGGTCTGATCCTCCACACACCGTTGTCCCAAACGGGGGCGGCGGAGCCGTCGCTCTGACGCTCCACCAACGGTGAAAAAAGCCATGGGTGGGGTGGTCGGAAGACAACCCAGGCGAAGTGTCAGGCAAAGTTCGCCCCATGAGAAGAACGCAGAGGGTGACGATCATGCAAGGTTGTGGACCTTGCTAGTTAGTAGGGGGTTCAGGAGTATGTGATCAACGTATCATGCAAGGTCTTGGACCTTGCTCAGCATGTCATATACATGCATGTATATTAGATACACCAAAAAAGCACACACTCTCCCGCGAACGCAGGGAGAGCAATAGCACACTTAAAAAACACAAACACACACACACACTTACTGGTTGGTGCTTTTAACTCATGAGAAAAAACACATATCAGTCAGCTGTGGGTTCAATCATCCCACCCTAGGGCTCCAAGTACCTCCTCAGAAGGTATGACTGGACCCTCCAAACCCACCCCAGTCCAACCTTCTTAGAAGGTACTTGGAGGCCTAGGGACATATCCTTCCAAGCAGAGTAGCATGACTCGTTTGACTTGTTCAATCATCCCAAGTACGAGTTGAACACTATAGAATATCTGAAACCACCCCGGTCTTGAACAACCCAGGATGATTCTTCGTTGGTTGCTACACACAATGCCTCGGCCATGCCTCCGGTCGTGTGGGCCATGCTATGCTGGGCCCTCCAAAACTACTCAGGTGCCTATCTTCATCTATCTTCTACCAGGACCCCCAAGGGGTGGTTAATGGACACCCCTTAACAGCTAAGGGGCTATCCATAGACACCCCGACAGGAGGGTCCTGGTATGTGCATCAGTTGCTGGTGTGGGGAAGGATCGACTGAAAGACTGGTGCAACACCAAGCACATCCAGATGTTCAGTAGGTCAGCCGCTCAGCTGTCACACAGCCGTTTTCCTCGTTACATGCAATCCTTCGGCCAGCACGAAGAAAAGATGGCATCCAGTTCTTACAGAAGCACGCGTCAGCTGAATCTCCTCCGTTTGACCAAGGGGCAATCTGCGAAGACATTCGCATTGACATGCACCGACTGCGGGATGGTCAAGTCTACCAAAGAACTGCATTCTGCAAAGGCCTGGACGCCAATGGTCACTGAGTCTGGGATGATCAAGCTCCTCAAGGAACTGCAACCCCGAAATGCCTTCTCTCCAATGTGCGTCATTGAGTTCGGGATGGTCAAGCTCACCAAAGAGATGCAATCCTGAAAGGCGCATTGCTCAATGTCGGTCACTGAGCTTGGGATGCTCAAGCTTGCCAAAGAGCGGCAGCCCTCAAAGGCAAAATCCGCGATGTGGGTCACAGAGTCCGGAATGATCAATTCTACCAAAGACGTGCAATATTCAAAAGCACATGTCCCAATGTGGGTTACTGAGTCTGGGATGGTCAAACTTGCCAAGGAGCTGCAACATGCAAAGGCACTAGGCCTAATTTTGGTCAAGGAGTTTGAGATGGTCAAGCTTGCCAAAGACCTGCAACCCTTAAAGGCACCATCCCTAATGTGGGTCACTGAGTTCGGGATGGTCAAGCTCCTCAAGGAACTGCAATGCTTGAAGGCGCCTTTCTCAATGTGGGTCACCGAGTCTGAGAAGCTCAAGCTCTCCAAAGAGCTACAACCCCAAAAGGCATAATCCCCAATGTGCGTCACTGAGTTCGAGAGCGTCATGTTCGCCAAACAGCTGCAATCCCCGAAAGCACCAGGACCTATGTCAGTCACTGAGTTCGGGATGGTCAAGCTTGCCAAAGAGCTGCAATGTGAAAAGGTTCCCGCCTTAATATGAGTCACAGAGTCTGGGATGGTCACGCTTACGAGTGAACTGCAACACTCGAAGGCACTTTGCCCAATGTGTGTTACTGAGTTGGGGATCGTCAATTTCACTAACGAGGTGCACTGCATGAAGGCGCGATCCCCAATTACGTCAACTGAGCTAGAGATGGTCAAGCTGGTCAAGGAGCAGCAACTGCGAAAGGCATGACCCCCAATGTGGGTCACTGAGTTCGGGATGGTCAGGTTCGCCAAACAGCTGCAATTCTCAAAAGCACCTGGCCCAATGTGGGTCACTGAGTTCGGGATGGTCAAGCTTACGAGTGAACTGCAATCGCGAAAGGCACTATCCCCAATTTGGGCGACTGAGTTCGGGATGGTCAAGTTCACCAAAGAGCTGCACTTGGAGAATGCAAGACCTCCTATGTGGGTCACTGAGTCTGGGATGGTCAATTTAGCCAACTTCTTGCAGTCCTGGAAGGCCATCCTAGGGATTTGAAGGTCACCATCTGGGATTTCAACTTCAAACAACTGTTCCAAGTCAACTTCACTGCTGTCAATAGCCTCTTTGTTGGAGCATCTCACTCTGTTCAGCTTGAAAACAACACCCACAGCAGCCTCCTCAGTGAGCCCCACATCTGCCACTGTGTCATCATTGCCCAGTAGCCTATCTCCAACTACAATCTCCACTACAGTGGTTCTGGGAGTATCCTCATCCCAGGTCAGCTGCCCTTCTTTGATCTGCTGCTTTAGCTCTCTACCTGTTGTCTCTGGTGCCACTTCAAGACAAAGTGACTCGCCGTTCACCTGTAGTGCGGAGATTCTCATGCTTCTCTGATCTGCTTCTTCAGCTCTCTACCGGTCGTCTCTGCGACGTCCAAAGGACGTAAAACGTCACAAGGACGACGTCCTTGACCTGGCACAGCATCATGAGTCCCATCTGCATGGCTAATCTATCAATCACTCCTAATTACTAGGATTGCAGCTGGTGAGCGCCTGGAAGGCATGAATGAACATGTGATGACTTTCTGCATGGTACACGCAGGTGCTGTCTGTCTTTTTAGGAAACCGTCCAGTTGCGCAAACAAAAATACTTTCCTCTTGAAATCATCGTTGTAGTGCTTTAGAGTGACCATGCGTCACCTAAGGACCAATTAAACATGTTAGTTTTTGCCTAGTAGAGGACTACCAAATCTACCAGGTCATTGCTTGTCTCTGCTCTTGTCCATCCATTTCAACCTTGTTGTCCTACCTCGTGCCGGTCAGCCCGCCATCTTGGGCTGTGGTCTGAAGAGGATCTGACTTGACTGAGGCCATTGCGGACTCCCAGGCGGACATCTGACTGGTGCGACTCGTAGGGAATGAGGGAAGTTTCGCCCCGATAGAGATTCCTTTGGATCCAGCCATCCTCATTCCCTACGAGTCGCACCAGTCAGTTGTCAAGAGGCTGAGGGGAGCCGTGTTTGGAAGGAAGGACGACACCCTTTGGACGACCGGTTCTTAGGCTTCCTTCACAGTACGGCAGTTACTCCAGTTACATGATGTTACAAGTTCATCTCCAGGGGCACCTGAGCTTCTCCATGGTTCTCCATACCCAAAAACCAAGGTCAGGAAGCACCAGGTCAGCAGCTCAGGGCAGACCGCCGCTGACCGTCCCAACGGGCCGTAGTTCGGTGAGTAGCTGAAATGGATACTTCAAAGTGGACCAGGTGATGACATAAAGAAACAATCCAGAAACAATCCTGAAGTCGGGTGCTTGGTATAGACACACATATATAACACTCCTGCAACGTTCCCACCCCCTATGCCCGACACTTTAGGCCACCCGCACGTGGAAGGGGCTCCGGCAGCCAGCGCCACGGGGCGCAGGGCGGCTCGGCCAGGCGGCAGCGCTGGAAGTGGAGCGTGCGAGGCGGGTCGGTTCCCTCCGCCTCCGCAGCGGAAGCCAGCGGCCGCCGGTCCCGGTGGGTATGTGGCGAATGGGGCATCAGTAGTGTGGTGTGGACAGGAGTGTGGTAGTCTGTTCCAACACAAACCTGTCTGGGAGTTAACATAGCTGGATCTTCCAACTCTTCCAACTATGCACCAGTTCTGCCGAACTTGGCTGGTAAGTGGTAATGACATTGCTCCTGACCCCTGAGGGATCCCTCCACAAGGAAGGCTCAGCTACCCATGAATGTCTTTTTTGTTCAGTTTTTCTAAAGCAAAGCGCCTCCGGACCCTTCTCGCGGCCCCAGCCGCCCCTACCTCACCCCGCCAGACCTCCCCGTGCTGGAAGAAGGCCAAAAGGCAAAGGATCTTCTGCGGCGCCGCCTCCCATGCGGATCAGGCGGCCCCGATTTGACGGGAAGGAGAGTTCCACCAACCTGGGAAGAACAAAAGGCCTTCCTTTAACTTACATTGCCCTGGCTATAATACCCTGGCTATAATATGATGATCTGTTCATTTCTGTTGTAAAGTATATGAAGTATAATGCCTATATAGCATTGACACTGGACCCGGGTGCCCTGGAGGTCTGGAGACCTGTTTGTAAGTAGGGTAGAGGGTAGTCGAACGCCAGGACACCCAGACAGGATGACCCTGGTTGTTGTTTTCTTTGTTTTTTGGCTTTAAATCAGGTTGCCTTTTTGTTCACTCCAAAGGCACAAGTCCCAACAAAGGCAAGTTCTTCCATCTGCACTGAATCAGGGATGGTATGGTCAAGCTATGCTCGCGCACGCTGGGCGCGGCATTTTTCACCAAACGACTCCTGGAACAAATGGAGTCCGAAAAAAGGAAGGTCAAGATTCACTCCGCTGGTCCGCAGCAGTCCCCAAAGAGATTCCAACAAGTAAAATTCCCGCGACAAAATACTAGCACTCCAACAGGTCACCACCTGACACTTTTAAGTATCCAAAAGCTGCCAGAGGAGACCTGTTGGAGGGTGCTGGTATATATATATATATATGCCAACTTATATGCCTGAAATGGAGTGATGTTCAAATGATTTAAGGGTCAATGGGGCGGAACATATTACTCATACAATCTCGTATACATGCATTCTGATAGTTGGATGGTCTGGAATGGAGTTGCCACCCGTGCCGCACGGAAAAGGGGTCTACCGTGCTTTGCACCAGATGCTCCACTTGTCGCATCACTGAGTTTGGAATGATCGCACAGCGATGTGAATGAACTGGCCATCGGCACAGCTCCTTGGACCGCTCTCTGAATCCTTCAGACCAGTAGTTGAGCCGACCCTGACATCATTAATGTTTGTCAACTTTGATCGTTGAAGCTGTTGGTGTTCAGTGTGCCATGGTAGTCCTACAACTATGGGGGGCAGCCATGCAACTTTGAATACATGATCATACAATGTAATACACATGTATACACTCTCTCTCTCTCATCAAAGTGGAGAGGGGAGGACATCAGGCGGTGCTCATATGCTCATAGCTCATGTCACTTTCCGGCAGCTTCTGCCCCCCCCGCCCAGGATTGACACAGTGGTGGCACAGCGACACATCTGGTGACGCGGCCCTGGGCTGCTCTCGATGGCTGCGACGGCATGCAGCATGCACTTCAAGATCATGTCAGTCCCATCTCACATCTGCAGCCCCAGACACTCCATGTATGCCATATATGCCTACATTGACCCCTCAAACCACCCCAATGTAGGCATATATGGCATACATGGAGTGTCTGAGTATCTTCATCCTCTTCATCCTCCGGCCCACAGCCGCCGCACACGTCGCTGCCCAGCATCAGTCACCTGCCCAAGATAGGCGATGCGCTGACACCCTTCCATTACGACTCCGGAAGACCCCAAATACCACCGCCTTGGCGGACGAGAGGTAGAGCTTTTGAAGGTCGGGGAAGCCATACACATTGAGCCTCAAACGCTTCACCGGTTTCTCCGGTCGAGATGGACGGACCAAACGGTTCCATTGTGTGACCAGGAATCCATCCCCTTGAGTGTCTGTCAATCATCCACGGCGCTGGGAAGAAGCTCCATCCGCGGCGTCTCGCTTCCAACGTCACGTCTGGAGCACATGGAGGTTCTGACGAAATGGGAGCCTGAAGCATCATTTGTAGCACGTTGTGCCTTGTAGTACTTTTCAATTGAAACCGAGCGTTGATCGAATGAAGGTTCCCCTTCAGGGTCTGACATGAAGTCTGGGCTGGTGCCGCATCCGGAACAAATCCTCTATCGCACCGCTCCGGTCGGTCTTCCGGTCGGTCTTCCGTGTGCAAAACACACCACACCAGGCAGGTCGGTGTTTTTTCAGCGCATCGCAGCCGACATGGAGGGCCAACTGGGCAAACCCGGACGTGTTTCGTGACCAGCCGTTCCATGTCGGTCGTGAGAGTCTAGATGTCCTAAGCCTTCTGGGAGTGAAGGACTATCAAAAGAATAGTCTATGAATGCCTATGAGATACCAAAATTCGGAACTGTCCTTCACTGAAACCAACAAATATGTTGTCTATACAAATGACTTGACCGACTGGAGGGGCACTGAGTGGATCTTCAGACTTCCACTCTCCCTCACCATCCAAGCTTCCACCGTCCTGGCTGCGATGGCATGCTTTGACCCCCACCAGCTGCACCGCGGAACATTATGGTTCGGGTGGTTCTACTCCGGACCAAGCAGCAGAAAGAGGTTCGCCAGAAGGCTGTAGGTCGCGGCAGATGAAAGGGAGAGTTCCTGTTAAAACGGCGCGAAGCGGCGAAGAGAGACCAGCGCCGCGGCGCCGCAGCTAGCAGGGGAACTGTCGATTCAGTTTCTTTTCCAACTAGACATCATGGTACATCAGCTTTGTCCTCACAGAAAAAACAAACACATAATTAGTAGACACTGTTACAAGGCCTTTCTCTATAAAATAGTGATGCTGATGCTCTTGTTTACGGACTGTAATAAAACCCAACGTTGATTCATAAACCTGTTGTAGCCGCAAATGAAGGTTTACCATCTCTGGGGTGTGATTTTATCTGTGCATACATGACAGTGCGAGGATTCAAGTTGCCCCATTGTTACACTCCGAGCTCACTCACATCTACCAGCACCGAAACCCTGCCAGGTCTCCGAGTTTTGGAGGCTTTTGTAGACTTAAAAGTGGACCTGGTGGTGACCTGTTGGTGTCGGTCCACATCTATGCACAGTTCGGAAGTGGTTCCACTTCCTTCATTGTCAATCGTCGCCCTCTAAGACTCTAAGAATTGAAAGGTCTGAACCTGCAAGGACTGCCGAGGAACTCACGGCCAGATGTGGTGCCAAAGGGGTCTGTCTGGGGCGGCATATGTAGGCAGTCCCATGGCAGTTCCATTAGTCATGTCTGGGATATACTGGTCACTGGTCCAACCACCGAGGCAGGGGACGAGTGAAGTCAGCAACGATGGCCGCGTGGTTTCAAAGACCAATGGCCCGGCCTAGTTCCGCACTGATGAGCGCCAATCCACGAAAATTCCATTCACCTTGGGGTGATCGAACTGCACAAGCACTAAGGGTCAACTGCATCCCAACAGCGCTATTAAAACATCACCAGTCCACATCCTGCTGCACTTCCACCCAAAAGAAAAGCCCCAAAGCACCACCACCCGACGGAATCACCCAATGGTCCACCCGGACCGGCGCTCGGTGGTTTCGCCGTTTCCGCGAAACGGCCTTGACTTCAGGCTCGCCGCCTGGCGGCGAAGCAACGGGTCGAAGTGAGGGATGGTGGGGCTGGTGGCTGAGGGGGATGGTGTTGGGGTCTTAGAAAGAAAAAAAACACCAGCAGTCACAAAGGGGTGCTTAATGGAGGTTAGGGGTGCCCATTATCCACTCACTTGGGGATCAAACACCACCCCTTTGTGACTCCTGGCACATGAAAGTACCTCAGAGTTTTTGGGGATGTTCGGGTTTTAGATGGTTTGAGCACTTGTTTTATAGAAGACTGTCCTGTTAAGTGCTTAGCACTGGTTGAAATTGAACAAGAAAACGAAAAACCGAATGGTGGAGATGTGAACAACCGTCCAGGTAGCGGGTCAAAATATGATCAACAACAGTCAAACAAAAAACATATCGTTAACAGTATTAACAGTTAACACATTCAAAACACATTCAAACGCATAGTCATGCGTGGTTTCGTCATGTTTGGGCCTTTAAGGATCTCTTGTTCACCATCCCTGAGTTTTTGGGCTCTCTCAACCTCCCGAGGCTGCGGCTAGTGGAAACATGGACGTTGGACGCAAGCAGATGCATGGGACTACAGCCCATACAGCCTGGCAGCCTGATGCTTGTGTGCCCAACAAACGACACGGACCGAGCTGACCAAAGAAATATACCAGAAGTTCCAAAGGGGTGCTCTCCATGAAGGTTAGGGCGGTTAGGTATTTGTTAAGAACGTCCACTCACTGGATGGGACTAGGAACTCAACACCCGACCTGCGACTCCAACAGTTGGAAAGGTCTGCTCATGAGGACTCCTGGCCCAACATACCGCCGGGCACACGGCCCGACCGGATTCGACTGCTCGAGCACGAACCTGGCACCCACAGTACTCCCCCCAGTCCCCCCGAAGCTCCGGTTCGGTACGACTGGATGCCAAGTTCGGGTCGGTGTGTTCTTTGGATTTGCTTCATTAAAGAACCATGCAACACGAGTCCTCGAACAACGAATTCTGGGGGGGCCATCGAGTTTCGCACCGAACAACACGCCTATTATATTATCCTATTATCGTATTGTACCCGGTATGCCGTATGCCGTGCGGTAGGGTGATCATAGGAGTGATTGTAGAACTTGACGAATCCTGAGGTGCAGGAGGTGCAACATCCTGAGCTAGAAACAAACAGAAGCATGTTAACAGGCTGAAAACGGCATGTGCAAGCATGTGCAAGCGATGTACACTACGAAAGCAAAAAATGGCATGAGGAATCGCTAATTAAGTCACGAATTCAACCTGCAGGCAAAATCAGTGGCGGAGTCAGTCAAGTGACCTTTTGCATACAAAGTATATCAAAGTATTTCCCAGGTTATTAGGGCAGGGGATTCACCCACTGGTAAAAACAAACATCACCCTATCTGCAATGCCAGGTTTGACTGGGTGATTGCTTAGGCACGGCCTTAGGCCTTAGGCTGATTTCTTCACAGCCAACACAACGAGGATGTTCCCTCCGTCATTTCGTTGGGCCTGGGTCGGTAGGAACTTCTGCCTCCTTCGCCTGCCGCAACGGTCTGTCCAAAGGGTTACTTAGTGTAACCTTGAACTTGGCGAGCATCCAAAACAAAGCAAAACAGAACAGAACGACAACAACAACAACAACACCCATGATGATATATATATATATGTCCCATATATGTATATATTTCAATATGGTATCTAATATATACGTTTCAAAAATGTTTCAATTCTCAGAATCTTCTGCAGAGCCTTGCACAACACGAGCCCTCTCCGAAAACACATCATGCAAGAGAACTTAAGACGTTTTGGTAGAACAAAAATCGAGCACCCTTGAAGTTTGAAACCTTGGGACTGCAGCACACATGTGCAGTTCAGCCACAATGATAGCGATCCCCAAATAAATGACCGTGGCACAGTTTCCAAGACATTTTCTAGGTGGGATCTACTGTTCTATCTATTTGGGAGTCTACAGTCTACATGTAATATTATGTAATTAATCAGACAGTTCGTTGGGAAAATGGTTGTGGGTCATAGCATCAGGAGAGAAACACCGGGCATGACCCACCTGGTGGACTAGTCGTTCGCTGGTCGCGCGCTCAGCGCTCAAACTCTCCAGTGACCCGTCGGGGCTCCTGGCCTCCCTCCGTTTCGAAGGTGGAGGTGGGTGCCAGGGGGGTCTAACCACCGAACCTGAGGAGATTGGCCAGGAACCCAAACGGGTCAGTTCACACTCCCAAAAAAGATCACTGAAACGAGACAAGAAGAACCTCTCTCACCCCACACCAGCTCGCAGCCCACAGTCCGGGACCCGCAGTTCGTTATCCTTTGGTTCATTGACGCGTCGATGCGTCGTCTCAGCAACCCGCCAATCTCAGCAACCAAACCAGAGATCCACCAAATTAAAATGATCAATTCTACCCCAAAAAATGAAGAATCAGGGCAAAATGAGTCACCGGACGTTCAGGGCAGGGCATGTTTTTTGACCCTCCAGCCCTCTTTTCCGCCAGGGAGACGACACACACTGGCGGCCTCTGCTCGGATTGGTTTCATGCGAGCCACCTGCACTACAGCATGAAAGGCGCACACGCGCGATGTGCGCCATGGAGGGTGGCAGAAAGACCGGTTGATGGGATTGTTTTGCATCATCCTGCAGTGTGCATAGAATATTCCCTAAGGCTCCTGGCCGCCTACAGAAACTGCACGATGCCACCAGTTCCAAAGTCGCTTGCTATCTTCCATCGACTACTCTATACTCTAAGAATCCTTGGGCCCTCCATGGCAGGGGTCAGACCCTCCATAGCAGGGGTCTGGGCCCTCAAAACCCTATGTGTTTGAGGGCCCGGATTCTCAGGGTATAGAATCTCAAAAGGAGTGTTCCAATCCCAGCCATCAAGCCAGACCGTTTTGCTGCATGTTGACTTGAAGCAATATTTGCTTTGGGTGAGGTTAACCCTATCAGTATGCCTTATCTTATTATTGATATTATTCTTGTTATATATATATATGTTTGCACGGACTGCTAACTTCGACTGGCCAGAAAAATATCAATTCAACGAGCACTTTTTCTTCTCGTCTCGCAAGTTCTGCTCCAGCGCAGGCGGCAGCTCTCTGAACCTGGCAGGAGTGAATGATAAGTGAGGAAAGGAACTGTCCGTCAACGATAAGTATTGCTTCACCGATTTCATCTGCCCTGAGTTGGTGCCTGCATGGTTGGGGAACCTTCACGAAAGCAGCCGGCAGCCGAGAAGCCGCTGCAGCCTGACCAGCGTAAGGTTGATGCACGCACACAAATTCGTTCAGCTCTCATTGGTCCTCAGGAAAACGCTCGAAGACTTTCAGGTATCCTAGAATTAACTAGCTACTCAGCGATGATGTGATGCTTGAAGGGTATACCTGTAGTAGTCTACGCACTGGCATAGACTCGTCGCTATATTCTCGGTGACAGCATGGAGCTTTGTACGTTACCTTTTGGAATCTCCTCTGACCCTACAGCGCATCATTCCGAGAAGAAGCCACAATGAAGCCTGCGACATGGTGATCTTTCCTGAGCATTCTCATCCTTGCTTGCCCCCTTGTGAACTTCACAATGATCTTTCATGAGCAAAGGGGCGGCGAGCTTTGGGAGCAAGGCCATCTACAATCGCAACTCCCTGCTGAGATGCTCCAGTTCTCTTGCATTCTTGCGGACAACGAGGTCCTTCAGAGATCTCTTGACTCGCGTGCGGAATGGTGGAGGAGCTGCCATGCCGAAGGTTGGCTGAAGCCGATGAGCTGACTTGAGCCGAACACCACTGAGCCAGCTACCCTTTCATCTACCTCAAATCAAACTGCACCTAGGCAGAAAGTATAACACCAGCGTACCTTTAGGTGCTTTCTTGGTGCCTTTCGATTCAGTGGGCACAAGCTTGTGGCGTTTGAAAGGTGCGCAAAAGACTTCGAATGCTGGTCCTCTCTCAGCAATAAAACTATTGAGGCCTTTGATTTCAATGGTTCATTGCTCACCACAGACAGGCATTGGATCCAAGCTTCCGCGCATTGACTGACACTGCAAATCGACCCTGGCCACTGGCCGGAGGTACCTCCGGCGTATATCTCAAAATTGCAGGCCCTCTCTTGTTCTCTTCAGCGCTCTTGTTCCAATGTTAGAGGTTCAAACAAAGGGAGAAGCTGGTTCTACTGCTTTGTGGCTTCGGATTTGTCCATCCTGCCACTGTGGGAAGCTGCCTTGAGTCACTGGATTCCAGCCCAGACACAGAGGGTGAATGAGACTCGAAGCTCAAACGTCATAGGCTGGTAGATAGCATGCAAGTTTAAAAGGGATTCAAAATCAGTGGGCTTCTTCTCCCCACATCCGACCTTGGGTTCGCTGATTGAGGCAGGCCACAAACCCGCACCGCAGCTGCCGCTGACCAGCTGCTCTAGAGAGGGGCATTGAGGGTGGATGGAATCTGGAAAGTAGAAAGTTCAGTTGGAGCATCTAGGGAATTTGAAGCATCAGTTGAAGTATATTAGTATGATGGATGGTTTTTTGTTTCACCTTGGGGTTCCGCGGGTTGATTCTCCTTGAGGCTTCAGCCTTGAACCATCGAACATCAAAACAGAGAAAACATACAACATGCGCGAATGAAGCGGGTAGCTAATATATGTTTACGGTATCGCTTTTTACATATACGATTTTTTAAACAGGTGAACAGGTATTTTAGACTACCTCCGGCAAGGTTTTTGCCAGCCCGGCCCGACCCTTTTAACATACGGAATGAATATACGGTACGATTTAAATATACGGTCAGCTTACGTATGTGCGGCGGCATTTATTTGGTACTGAGCTCAAACGCACTATCTATCATGTGGAGGCCCTATCTCGTTTCGACTACATAAGTAGAAGGTCATGTCATGTCACAGTATCTCGCTCAGACTATTTTAGTCTTGGTAGTCCCGGTGGTCTTGGTGGTGATTGTGGCGGTCTAGGCGGTGTTGGTGGTGCTCTTGGTGGTCCCGGCGGCCTTGGTGGTCCGGTCTTGGTGTCTCGGTGGTCTTGGTGGTGATTTCTGCGGTCTAGGCGGTGTTGGTGGTGCTCGGTGGTGCTCGGTGGCCTTGGTGGTCTGGTCTTGGTGTCTTGGTGGTCGGTGGTCTTGGTGGTCCTGGTGGTCTTGGTGGTGATTGTAGCAGTCTACTCTTGGTGGTCTTGGGGGTGCTGGTGGCCTTGGTGGTCTTGATGGTCCGGTCTTGGTGGTCTCCGTGGTCTTGCTGGTCTTGGCGGTGATTGTGGCGCTCTAGGCGGTGTTGGTGGTGCTCGGTGGCCTTGGTGGTCCGGTCTTGGTGTCTTGGTGGTCGGTGGTCTTGGTGGTCCCGGTGGTCTTGGTGGTTGTGGCAGTCTACTCTTGGTGGTCTTGGGGGGGCTGGTGGCCTTGGTGGTCTTGGCGGTCCGGTCCTGGTGGTCTCCGTGGTCTTGGTGGTGATTGTGGTGGTCAGGCGGTGTTGGTGGTGCTCGGTGGCTCTACTCTTGGTGGTCTTGGGGGTGCTGCTGGCCTTGGCGGTCTTGGTGGTCCGGTCTTGGTAGTCTTGGTGGTGATTGTGGCGGTCTAGGCGGTGTTGATGGTGCTCTTGGTGGTCTTCGTGGGTATGGTGGCCTTGGGTCCGGTGGTCCAGGCGATCTTGGTGGCCCTGGTGATTGTGGCAGTCTACTCTTGGTGGTCCTGGTGGTCTTGGTGGTGCAATTGGTCTTGGTGGTCCAGGCGGCCCTGGTGGTTTTGATTTGGTGGTGTGGCACCTCCCCATACAACCTGCAGCCCTGAAAGTAGTAAGAGTCCTTGATGAGTTCTACTTCCTGTGAGAGTGTTTGAAAAGCTAGATCGACCTAGTTGCTGGGCAGAAAGCATAAAGTTATTTCTCTACAAAAATCGGGTTCTGTAGGTCCCAAAAACTGTCTCGTTACAACATGGCCTCTCTGTAAGGGCCTCAAGCTCTCCCTTTTCGTAAAAGAAATGTCAACAGTGATTACATTTTAAATATACGGGGAACAAGTATTTTATACTACCTCCGGGGCCGATTGCTCTGGCCCGGCCAGAACCTTTCAATATACGGTGGGAACAGGTATTTTATACTACCTCCGGAGCCGATGGCTCTGGCCAGGCCACCATATATTTAAAAAGCGTTACCGTAATATCAATAGCATCCCATGGCAATATAATGCAATATCCATGAAGGGACTTGGATATCGTTTTATAGATATGAGATTGTGATTCACCCCCTTGGGGTACATAGCATCTTAAGCATTCAAAGCATCTTGCACACTTGTTCCGTCGTCATTTGTGTCTGAACATGTTGCACTATGATCGCTAAAAATGGAGTATCACAAACAATGTTTTAAAGAAAGATATATAGGCCCTCTGCATGTTATAAAGGAAAATGCGACGGTGCCTATTTTTACTTAGTTGGATATAGTTGGAACATGCATGAACATGACCCCCCAAAGAAAAAACACAAGCATCTCACCCGAAAACCACCATCGTCAGGAAATACATGACAACGGTGGGACTCTTCAGTGGTTCCTCGGCAGACCTGCGGTTTTCAGGCTCCGACAGAAGGCGTGGAAGGCATCGTTCGCCGGAATTGGGGCCGCGCTGCAGAGTTTCAAACGCTTTTCGGACGGTTCTGATGCTGAGATCAGAACCGGCAGGATGGTATCCCAAACGCGACCCATGGGACTGCCATGGACTGCCGATCAGTTGGGGTGGTGCCAGGGGCCCAATGTAGGCATACATGGAGCGTACTATGGAGCGTCTGGGTCTTGGTCACGTGGTAGGCATAGTTAGTTCCCCGGAGACCACGCTGGGACCTCGGACGATCAACGCTCCGACGATCTCAACCCTCCCGGAAGGCCGAAGTCTTCATCCCCCCGCTGAAAGCGATGGCGCCGCGTCAAGCGTCCAAGCGGAAGCGGAACCGCCTGGCGAGGTGCCCAGAGGTCTTCCAAGGAGGGCTCCTGCAAGGTCCGGACGCGGTGGCACGACGGGCGCGGCGTCCGGGAAGTGGTGTCTGGGGAGCGGAATGTGACGTTCAAACTGGTGTGGTGCAGGGCATCCAAGCAAAAAACAGGCTGTTCAGTGGTTTTTGTAGTGTGAAGTCCTTAGTTGGTTCAGTAAAGCCTATTAATTTCATAGTGCTTGGAAGATGTTGGAAGTCTAGGGGTGCTTATAGCTGGGAGTGGGTGTGCTCAGCACCGGTGAGGATCGGTTCCCCGGTTCCGGTTCTCGGTGACGGGGATCCACCCGGTCATGAACAGGCCAAGTCCTGGGATATCCCAAACCTAGACCAGCACCCCTCTGAGACACCAGGCAGACCTGCCAGGTAGGAATTTATGGCATGTTTACCGAAGTTGGGGTGGTTTTGGGGCGTCAATGTATGCAAATTTGCCAGTCCCATGGAGTGTCTGGGTATTCAAACCCAAACCAGCACCCGAGACCTACGTCTCCGAACTGGTAGCTGACATGGATACTTAATTTCGTGGACTGGGTGGTGACCTGGCAAGTCTCGGGTTCTGGGAGAGGTTGAAGAGCCTTATAGCCTATCCCATATGTACAGTGTTACAGGGCCCCATAAGGAAGTCTTTGACGATCAGGCCAAGGATGGTTTTGAGATGTTTGGAAGGTCAACCCAAACGCGACCCTGGACCCTGATATGGAGGGGTCGGACCCGAATCCGAACTGGTCAGGCGTCCGGGAAGGCCGATCAGGCCAGGGGAGCGTCATGCGGTTGGAACCCCACTCCCCTGCAGATTAACATGGAAGCCCCAAACCACTGGGTTGTAGAGGAGAATGCCCTTCCACTGGTCAATTCTCAGGTTGCATATGGTTCCATGTTAGTTTGCAGGAGGGTATCCCTCCCCAACGCCTCAACCCGGGAAGTTGAACCTCGACATGTTTGGACATGCTGCCAACAGGCCAATGTCAGCGTTGAACAAGGACATCTCTCAAAATCGACACATAGTTGATATCATACACCTGGACCCTCCAACAGGTCACCACCAGGTCCACTTTTAAGTCTACAAAAGTCACCCTAACTCGGAGACCGGTCTCAGGTCTCAGGTGCACAGGTTCCATGGATTCTTGGACGATCGTCAACGAACACTTCTTCGTGCCAAGTGCTCCACATGCCAATCCTCTTCTGTCGATCTCTTCGGAACCATGACACCTCGATCCCACCCGTCGTCTCCCCCCTGCCATCGCGGCCATCGCGATCCGCTCCGCGTGGGCCGCGTGCAGAATCTTCGGCACCTCAAGCGGGTCACCGAGGGAAGCCCAACGAGGTTCGAACGGGTCACCGGGAGACGTGACGAGACGTGACCAACAAGGTCGACGTGAGGGTGGAAGGTGGAAGAACTGGTTGGACGTTGGTGACCGAGGGTGGAAGAACTGGGTCGAATCGGAAGAGTCTTCTTCTCCATTGATATCTCAATACCCAGACGCGACCCAGTCAGACCCGAACCTATGGAGGGGTCGGACCCGAATCCTTTGGAGGGGTCTGGGGTCTCAAATCCCTATGGTTTTGAGGGACCAAGGGCTGTTTGGAGCGTCTGAATAATTCTCAATAAATTCCAAGCGTAGCTGCCCTGCATCGCCGAATCGCGATGTTGCCACTGACTTGGTATCGCATGATCGTATGATATCCTATGCGTCTTTGATCGACTGGTGTGGTAAACCAACATAAACACAGACTAGTATTATGTATATACTCCTTTTTTCACGTGTGTTCCCAAACTGGTAGTGGTGGAATATGACTGCCAGGTGGAGTCAAAGGAGTCCAGTCACGGAAGTTCTATAGATATCAACAATGATCAACTCAACACCAGCTGCTCGGGGAACAATCCATTTGTATTGTACTATATAGTGTTTGCGGTTCCAAACGCAAGTCAGTCACTTTTCGATTGCACAAGTCTATATAACACAAAGTCCTGTCCAAATCATGATGTCTCACCAGCAAAACACCATGCCCAGACGCGACCAGTCTGGGACTGCCATCTACGCCGATCAGTTGGGGTGGCGGTTAAAAAACAACTTCAAAGGGGCATATCCAGTCTCATGAGTCGTGTAATGCGATGTGTAAAGGCCTTGTTCCAAAAATCGTAATGCTCTTGTTTACTGACTGTTACAGGTAAGAACGGACAGACCCAAACGAACCCCTGCACCACAAGGTGGACACCCCCCAACGAGTCCCCATGCATGTCGTTTCGGACGGCACCGTTTTGGGGACTCAATGGACTTTCGTCATGCTGTTGACGAGTTGGTTGGCCAACGCAGGGTCCAGGTACCTTCGTACTTTGGATGGTCGTCGTTGCCAAGGAGGGCCATGTGCGACCCCCGAGAAACGCATGGTCCTGGTCCCTCCCAGGCTGTCCAAATGGTCCTTTCCTGCCTCCCTGGTGCCTCCCGGACCTCTATAGGGTGCTGCATCCCAAACACCATCCCGACAGCCACGAATCCGTGGGTCTTTGAAGTGGACCCACGCCTCTGACTTCGGCCGGTCGCGGTGACATCGGTGCCGTGTTAGTTCCTTTATTCCCCCAGCTGACAGAGGCACGAAAACTGGGGTGTCCAGAAACACCCAACTGGGCTGTCCAGCCAAGGCTTCCAAAGCCTTTTCACCTTGGTGGTGAAAAGCTGATGGCGCGTCTCGGCGCTTCTCGCTGTCAATTGGTGCCCAGGGGATCGGTTCTAGACTCAGATCCCTAAGACCCTTATAAGACCTGTTAAGACCTGGTTCGACATCGAAAGTCGGACCCCCTATAGGTATGTTCAGAACGTCGATGTGTTACTGCAAGATCGTCAATCTACGTCGCCAGCACCATCTCATGATCAGCTATGCTTGGATGTGCCCTTTTTTCAGAATGTCCCCCCGACGCACCTCACGAGCCTGAGCCCAGCAGCACGGTGACCAGGTGCGATACAGTCTGGTTGCATGTGTCTCAGGGGTGTCGTTTCCTCGCGCAGCCAGCTGCCAGGACCTTCAAAGTGATCTCTTTGGAGTCAGTATGTGACCGTTTTATGGACTATAAGTGACCTCAAACTGGGATCTCAAGTTCGGGCTTCCCCCGGACAAGTCACAACGTGGAGACGTCGGTGGTGAGAGAACTCACCGCGACCCAGTGGGACCCGAACCTATGGAGGGGTCGGACCTGGGGTCAGGGGTCGAACCCGCAACCAATCCCTATAAGATTTTGAGGGACCAAGGCCTATTTGGAGCGTCTGGGCGAACCAGTTTTCACCGAGAACGTCCAGTCGTAAATCGTCACTGAGGCGGCTGCCATAGCGCTCTTTGAAGAGAACGAGAGCCTGAACGATGCCCAGTGATTTGGCAGCCGCGGCTTCACCAGGAAAATGCTTTAGATATGGAGTGCAGTTCCCACATGTTCCCACCACGATTTTAGACTTTTGGTGAGCATTAAGAAAAGATCATTTTATAGGCAAGCTTGTATACATGGTGAGTGTATGTGAGTGCATCCATGTCCCTTCCTGGCTCTTGATCATCTCTCATGCTTCATGCTTCGTCATTCGTCACCATTTGCTCGCACGCGAGTGGTGCAAACGCGGTGCGCTTTAATTACTTCCCTACGCGGTCCGTTGGTTGGATCATGTCTGCACAAGGAGCAGCTATCCGTAGCTTAGCTATCCGTTTGCCCTTTCTGCATGCGATGAGCAGGGTTGGAAAGGAACGCACAACTCGTGCTCTGCTAAGCTCAATCTACAGAACTGCAAGATCGTTGCTGCAATACATTTCAAACAACTCGAATTATATCAAATCATATGGATTCCACTCCCCTCCACCTGGCCACACCACCTAAACCCTGACAAACACCTGCTTCCATTCCCACTTCAGCACCCTGCTCACCTCTGACCCGACCTCGCTCGGTCAAACCCACCCGACCTGTTCCCCTTGCTTCGCGCATTCGTCCGAAAAAGCCTCCTTCAAGCGTTTGTACTTGGCGAAGCGCGGGAGCACCTGGTGTCGGTCAGCAGGTCGTTCCCAAACAACCAGGTCAGCACGTCGCGCGGAACCGATCCAGAAACCCGACTCTACAGGAGGTCTCCTAAAGAGGGTTTTATAGGCTGCCCTAAGAATCCTTGGGCTCTCTCCATGGCAGGGGTCGGACCTTCTCCACCGAAACGCGTCCGGGGTCCGGGCACGAACCAGGGCCCCTATCTGTTGGTGAAGGAGCCCGGATTCTTAGGCTATCCCATTGGGTGACCCGGGGGGTTTGAGGGTGCTGGATGTTGCCACTCGGAATCCCATTGCAGGTCGACCAAAAACCTGTTCGTTTCCGATTTCCAAGAGCTCGTGGCTGCCCAGCAGCTGCCCGGGCAGATCCGGCCGAGCCGAGCCACATGCTTGGCGCACCTTCGGATCCCTTTGGTGGGTGAGCTGCCCCTACCCCACCCCTATACCATCCTATACCAGCACCTTCCAAGTCTGGTGGTTTTGGGACACCCCTTTGTCACCTCTTTACGCAAGTGCGCAAAAGAGTTTCTCAAGCAAGCCCTACGCAGGTTCTGACTGTGTCAGGGGTCGAGCGGCTTCCAGGATAGCCGCGGTGAATGTGTTTGCGGCCACCTCTGCCGCCTGCTCTTTGACTTGCACGTAGGCGTGCCTCAATTGCGACGGCGGCGCCTGGACACATCTCAAGGCACGCAAGTGGGCCTAGACGTTCTTTTCTACCAAGTTGCGCTTGTTCGCCGCGCTTGCGAAGTCGGTGATCCCACCGGTAGCGCGCCACTTGCTCGTCCCAAAACCTTGGTCGCGCAACTCAAAAAGCAGTTCCTGTCCTGTAAAAAATCTGTCATTTTGCAAGATGCAAGCCCCAAGAAATAAGAATTTGACGGTTCCGGAACGCGTTGAGGTGCTGCTCGGGATCAGGCTTCGCCACGTCCTCCAACCAAAGGCCCTGCTTCTGCAAGACAGCCCGCCTAGGATCGACGAGGGGAAATGTGAAAGACTTTTCTTGCGAACGGTGAACGATGCTCAGCAGCGGACACAATGGCAAGGCCACCCGGTTGAGCAAGGCGTCCATCAACCTTCTGAAGCTTGAGGTAGCCGTGAAAAGACATCCTTTTGCCTGGCGAAGGCGGACGCAACCAAACACGTGCAAACGTAACGACAGGCTGCAAAAAAGCAGGCTGCGCCTCCAGAAGATGATTGAGATTACGCCGTCAAAGAATCTTAAGCTTGAGCACGCAAACTGCGGCGGGCCCTTTCAAACAGAAATGCTTCCATCAGCCAGTGAATTAGCAATGCTTTGCTTCAATCTATATTGCGTGCTCCGGACATCATCTCTCCACATCGCAAAGACCAGGCTCCAGACAAAGCGCCCTCAGAAGGGGACATAGATAACCATGGCTGTTTCAACAATACAAAACGCAGCACCGAAACCGAAACCGATGCAGACCGAAACCGAACCGATCGCAAACGCCGAACCGAAACGACGAACCAATAACGAACACAACGCCGCATCGAACCGATACCGAGCCGAGAAGAAAAACACGCAAACCGACCACCGACACCGAACCGATTGCGGCTGCCTCACCAAGACCATTTTGCAACAACCTTGACTAGAAAGGGCAGGTATTTTTGATAATGCACCAACTTCGTGCAGGCAAACTTTTCTGATTGCTTTTCCACACACACCCTCCATTCAGCCTTCATTATATTATACTCCATTTAGACCGTGGATGTTCTTGACCCTTTTTCACCCCTGAGCAAATTCGTTTTTCCTGATTGGCTAAATCCTTGGTCGCACACTGCAAGTCCGGAACTTCCTTATTTTTATCGATTTTGGTAGGTTCTGGCCACGCCTGAGCAGACATCGAGCTGGAAGTTTGTTTTCTTGTCAATCTACGGGACGGAGAGGGTTCTCTAATGGATTCTCACTGTTCGCACCCGGCCCAAAGGAGCAGGTCTTGACTCCTCTACAGAGAGAGAGTGGAGTGAAAGAGGGAGAGTCACGAGCGCAGGGCATGGGCAAGTTTATACTGCGTTTAGAGTGCGTTTATACTCCTTTGGCCCTGCCCTCTTGACACTTGAACAATTCACTTTTTCATGGTTTGGGGTGAGAAGGGCTTACTCCTTTACAAAGAAAGAGAGGGAAAGAGAGAGGGAGCGAGGGGAGAGTCGCGAGCGCAGGGCATGGGCAAGTTTATACTGCGATTAGAGTGCGTTTATACTCGTTTGGCCCTGCTTTCTTCACACTTGAACAAGTCACTTTTTCATGGTTTGGGGTGAGCGAAAGAGGGAGAGTCACAAGCGCAGGGCATGGGCAAGTTTATACTGCGTTTAGAGTGCGTGTATATTCCTTGGCCCTGCCCTTTTCACACCTCAATAATTATGGTTTGAGGTGAGAAGGGGTTGGTCCAGTCTGAAACTATACCTGAATGGGTTCCGCCCTTAGCCTTCTTTAGTGGGCTTAGACATGGCATAAACCCGGCCTTTGTCAACATTCTCCCTTGGCATCCGCAGTCTTGGGTTGCGATTCAATTCGCAAGCTGGGCTACGACTCAAATCGCAACCTGGGTTTTGCGACTCAAATCGCAACCTGTGTGAAAAATCACCTGAACATGGTTTCCGCCCTTAGCCTCCTTTAATGAGTTTGGACGCCTAAACATGGTATAAGCCCGGCCTTTGCCAACATTCTCCCTTCGCATCCGCAGTCTTGGGTTGCGATTCAAATCGCAACCTGTGTGAAAAATCGCCTGGACATGGTTTCCGCCCTTAGCCTTCTTTACTATATTTACACCTTTTTGCTGGGGAAAGCGCGAAAGCTCTGGTAGTGAGCCGTGAGTTCCTTGAAGGAGAAGTCTATGTGAGGAAGGTATAAGCATGGCCTAAACGTAGTATAATTCACCCGCGCTACCTGGAAGCTGTTATGTCTTATTTTTCCTAGGTCAACCCTGCAATGGTCTTGGTGAGGTGGCCGCCGCCCGATTTTGCCCTCGACGCTGCTGCTGGCGCTGCTGGTGCTGCTGGTGCTGCACCGAACCGAACCGACGACCGAGCCGAAAAAAAGGGAACGCAATAAATTCAATAGTGTAAATGTATTGAACCGAACATCGAACCGATAGCATGGAATTGAAACGTCAATCGCACCGATGAAAAATTGAACCGAAGCATCCAACCAATAAAAATTGATGCAACGCCATGCAGGCCTCCAGAAGCGGATATAGCCAGCTCACTGGCCTCTGAAAAGTGGACATAGTCAACTGCAGGCCTCCCAGAAGCGGATATAGCCAGCTCTCTGAGATAACTGCAGGCCTCCCAGAAGCGGCTCTCTGGGCTCTAAGAAGTGAAAACTGAACATAGACAACTGCAGGACTCCCAAAAGCGGATATAGCCAGCTCACTGGCCTCTAAGAAGAAGCGGATACAGCCAGCTCTCTGGCCTCTGAAAAATGAACATAATGTTGACTCTTGATTAATCAACCCCCCCGGCCCCCCCCCCTCAACAACCAGGGCCTCCAATATAATCTACTAGAAAACTAATCAAAGGACCAAAATGAAAAGAATCCTTATTAAAATCTTCTTGGCCTTCTCTGGCAATATTAAATTAAAAGGGAATCAATGAAACCTCAAATTTGGAATACTAAAGTAAAAGGAAATCAATAAAGTTGAAATGGAATTCTCAATATTTTAATGGAAATCTACATCCAAAGACCTCCAAAAGCATCAAATCTAAATGGAAATCTCCAAAAGACATCTGAAATGTTAATTACAATAAAAGGGAATGAATCAATGCAAATAGAACTAACTTTTTAAATTTCAATGGAAATCTAAATCCAAAGACCTGCAATTTCAATGGTAATTAAAGCAAATCAAAAGGCAAAGAAAAGGAATAACGATTTAAAGCCTCAAATCTCTAGACATTATTCTAGGGCCCCCCCCTAAATAAGGTCAGAAAGCTGCTTGCTGGACTACCCCCTTTGCTTGAATGATTTTTTCAATACTTTCGAATAAGGAATGTTATAAAGAAAGTGCGCACCGACTTTTGGAAACTTTTGGAAAGCTTCAACACTAAAGAGCTTAGGAAAAGTAAATAAGGAATAGAGGGTGAGTAAAGCAAATCAAAAGGCAAAGAAAAGGAATAAATATTTAAAGCCTCAAATCTCTAGACATTATTCTAGGGGCCCCCCTTAAATAATGTCAGAAAGCTGCTTGCTGGACTACCCCCTTTGCATGAATGATTGTTTTGGTTTTTCAATATGTTTGAATAAGGGATTTTATAAAGAAAGTGCGCACTGACTTTTTGAAACTTTTGGAAAGCTTCAATACTAAAGAGCTTAGGAAAAGTAATAAGGAATAGAGGGTGAGTAAAGCAAATCAAAAGGGAAAAAGTAAACTATAACAATAAAAAATATTCCACTACAACTATCCCTGCCAAAAAAAGACATTATTCTGGTGGCCTTTATTAATCTGTGCAGGAAAAAAAGACATTATTCTAGGGGGCTTTATTAATCACAGGTCAACATTAGATAACTGCAGGCCTCCCAGAAGCGGATATATAGCCAGCTCACCGGGTTTGTAAGAAGTGGACACAGATAACTGCAGGCCTCCCAGAAGCGGATATAGCCAGCGCACTGGCCTCTGAAAAATGAACATAGATAACTGCAGGACTCCCAAAAGCGGATATAGCCAGCTCACTGGCCTCTAAGAAGTGGACATAGATAACTGCAGGCCTCCCAGAAGCGGATACAGCCAGCTCTCTGGCCTCTGAAAAATGGACATAGATAACTGCAGGCCTCCCAGAAGCGGATATAGCCAGCTCACTGCCCTCTAAGAAGTAAACACAGATAACTGCAGGCCTCCCAGAAGCGGACTGCCCCCTAAGAAGTGGACATAGATAATTGCAGGCCTCGCAGGAGCGAATATAGCCAGCTCTCTGGCCTCTGAAAAATGGACATAGATAACTGCAGGCCTCCCAGAAGCGGATATAGGCAGCTCACTCTAAGAAGTGGACATAAATAACTGCAGGCCTCCCAGAAGCGGATATAGCTAGCTCTCTGGCCTCTGAAAAATGGACATATATAGACAACTGCAGGCCTCTCTGGCCTCTGAAAAATGTACATAGATAACTAGAGGCTAGTTATGGACACCTCGACTGGAAGGTCCTGGTACCAGTATCTATGGATTCTGACAGCACACCGCACACCCCAGTGTTGGAAGGAAGGAAGTGGATCCAAATGAAAACGAGGACCAACGCCAGGACCATCCGACCCTCTGGGTGTCCTGGATGGACTACCACCCAGCAGGACCAGCCTATCTCGCCGGGATCTCCAGCCGACACGTTGGATGGTCCGGGACGATGTCCAGTCCATCCAAGAGAGGTTGAGAGTGGTACATATGGGATATGGGATCGGCTATGGGGCTCTTCAACCTCTCTAGGATTGCTCCGCAAAAGTGAGACGATCTTGAATGTTGCTGTTGTTGCCAGCGACTTCCGGTTTATACATATACATGGTCGTCGACGACCCAAGTTCGGAGTCAACATCTCCCAGTTGATGCCATGGAAGAAACCATCTTTCCCAGATGGGACTGGCATATTTACTATAACATACATTTACATTGACCCCTAAAACCACCCCCAACTGATCGGGTAAATATGCCAGTCCCATTAGTCGTGTTTGGGTTTTGTTGAAAAATTGGGTCACAACGCACCGACACAACGCCCCGTTTGGGTCGATTCAACAGATCCTTCCTTCGGTCCGGCCGCCGGGAGGCATGGACCGGACCGCTGCGGTCCTTCCGAACTGATGTCCCTCTCTGGAGAGCCAGCCCAGTGGGCTGATGTGGGCTGGGGTAAGTGGAGCAGGACCACGCCCGAAGTGACCAGGAAGCTGCTGAAACTGCTCAGGTCTACCAGGGATTTTCCCGTTTCCGGTGGTTTTATAGAGACCTCGTAGAGTCGGGTCCTGGTCGAAAAAAGCCATACAGACTCATGGGACTGCCATGGGGCTGCCGCCCCATTGACACCTATAAAACCACCTCGAGGTATAGGCATATATTCCATACCAGGAGCCTCTAAGGGGTGCCCAATGGAAGCCTATAGGTAGTGTGGAGTAGTCCATTGGACACCCCTTGGAGGGTCCTGGTACATGGAGCGTCTGGGTATAGGCTCTTAGATTATATTTCACCCACCCTAATTGGAGTCTCCTCTGGTGGCTGAAATGCAGACTGAGAGCAGTCGCACCTGGTGACCTGTTTGTGTGCTTCATCAAGAGTCGGACCAGAAGTGTTCTCAGGACTAGGTTTTCAGACCTGGCCTCCGACTCTGCAGCCCCCGCACCTTCGGCGGCTCCTTCGGCGGCTCCTTTGCCGTCTCTGACAGCTTCTCGTCGGCGTCGTTCGGCGCGGCGTCGGGACCGGCGTCGGTCACGGTGGTCCTCGGGGGCGCGAATCGGCATGGGGGAGGAATGGGAGGAGACCCCCCGGAGGTTCTGTCAGGGATTGATTTTGCTGAAACTTCTGGGTGGGCCACATTTGATAAACAGCATGGATGCAAGTGGGCAGTATCACAGAGGTTTGGTCGTGAAGAAAAACATCCAATCTCATGATGTTGATTCACTCTTGGCACTCAGTTGACAAGCGACGACCAAGACTTGACTCCTTGATGGACTTGTGAATAGCGTTCGTTGTTTTTCTCTTTTCTGCGGTAGTCTCAAGGTGTCTCGAGGTGCATATGGATTCATTCTAGACACGACACCTAAAACTTGAAAATGATTCAATCGATGTTTAACGTGGAAATACCAGGACCCTCGTCAAGTCGTACCTTACCCAGTGCATCCCAGGCAGTTCCCACGAGTACTAAGGAAGCAGGAACCATCGTTCCATCCATGGTGCGAGTCGAACTGGAACCACTGGTTTCCAGCGACATCGTGGTTTGCCTGGATGCCCTGGGTTCGAAAAATGGAACATATATCACATGACCGTCAGACCTGGGACCCCGACAGCGCGCGGCCCGCCGTGTCGTCCGCAGCTCCTGACGTGACGAGGTTCTCGCGTGTGACTCACCCGACCGCAGGGGGTTGGGCCAAGGGAGTCAAGGGTCGATCTGACGAACAATAGGGAGACACGGTCTGTCACAGAGTTTGGGTGCTGAAGAAGGAGGCAACTGATCTGGTCAGGATGGTCGATCAACATCTATAGTGGGTCTGGGTCTGAGTAGGTCAGAAATGGACCCGACTTCAAGTACCTTAGAAAATGGGACATGACCACAAGAGGTAAATTGTACCCGATTTCCGAGGTACAAACTGAGACTCCAGGTGGGTCATTTGAGGTCAGAAATGGACCTCCCTTCGCTGCTGCGCACATCCGCAGCACTGGCCGGCGTCGCCGCGACCCGTCGCCGCGACCGTCGCCGGTGTCAACCAACGAGGGACATTCGATGATCCGCCCAAATGGCACCGGGACAATGGTATCGCAAACGCTCCATGTATGCCATATATATAGGGGTTTTAAGGATCAATGTAGGCATATATATGGTATACATGGAGCGTCTGGGTATGTATCACAACCAAACATCGCTTGGTACCTGCAGTTCGTCGCACATTGTGCGATGGTCGTTGCTTGGTGGTCGTTGTACATCCGCCAACGACCCTCGCACAAACGATGCGATGCTTCGCTCGCACCGCCGTTCTCTCTTGCTTGGCCTTCGGGAGCTGGAGCTGGCACCTGCGGTCGGTGGGTCAGCTGGGCGCCGTCTGAAAACGACGCCAGCCGAAAAAGCCCGAGCGCGTAGGGAGGTCACTCCCGACCTCTAGGGATGGAGCGGCAAACTTTTCAGGTCAATGTGGGTCAATGGCCATAGAACACTGTAAGATTTGTAAGCTAGCGCCTAGCGCTAATGAATGTCCCTGATTTGTGGACGACTTACCAACGAACCGTTTGATATATGGAGTTGTTTTAAGACACACTTTCTTTGGTTCGTAAGCTATGGCCAACTGGACACCTAACTTCATGAAGACTCTTGGGTCCTGCTGGAACCATCTGAAGACCTAGATCACTCCCCAAAATTGTGCCTTGGATTTGCATCTTTGGAACCTGGAACCCCGAAAAGCGACCAACAGATTCCCCTCCCCATGTGGTTTTTCAGCCGTGGATGGATGGATGGAAACATTCAATTAACCTTCAACAAGACCTCAATCCGCACCGGGTGACGCACGATCACCGGGTGACGCACGGTGGCACCTACCAGGACCTTCCAACACCCCCAGTCACCTCTATAGAGGCTATTTATAGACACCTCCAAGATAGGGTCCAGGTAAGGATCTGTCAAACCTCAAACCTTATCCGTCCTCATTCGTCCTCATCTTCCCAACAGCACGGAGTTACGTCTTTCAATGGTTTTCAGGGAAAAGAGATCTGAAACCATGGGTGAACATGTACCCCGGGCAACCCCTCAAATTGGTGGGGGTCCTAGTAGATGTTCACGGATTAAAAACACTCTTGGGATTCGACAGGTTTCGATCTGCCACCAGTTCAGCAGCTCCACCACTCTTCACCTCCGCGGGCTCCTCCTTCTCCGGCTCGGGCAAGGGCCTTATTGGCGTCGCGGCGTTTGCGACATGGTGGGCCCCGAAGTACGAGTCGCACGTGTGCACGATGGAACATGTAACCAGAAATGGTAACTGATAATCCTATTTAAAAAAAACACGTGAAGAATGATGTTCCCAAGCGGCTGATTTGAAGATTTTGAAGATTCACCCTGAGAGCAAACTGCTCTGCTGTGAGCTCCCGCTTTTGGCCGAAAGGCCACCGGCTCCAAAACACTGGCGATCAAAGGCATACTATGCTAAACGAGTCCCGCCACCTTAAGACATATCGATCGAAACATCTCGTTTGGGAGTCATTGTTGTGCACACCTGGTTCGCATGTCCAGGTGGTGACTTAACACACCAAACTCAACGCCAAGGGCCAAAGGGAGATCCCCATTTACACATGAGGGATCTTGGACCCGGCCCTATTTGGCACACCCAAAAAGAATCCCTGGGATCTCAATGGATCTCAGGTCGATGAAGCTGGTTAACCTCGGGCGCCGCAGAGCCGCGCCCCTCGCAGCCCTCGCGCTGCAGCGCTGGGCAGCCCAGGCTCCCCATCGAAGTGTCGAAGCCTCCCGACGAGAACACCGGTTACGCGGGGGGTCTGCAGTGAAGGCTTTTTTTAAGGAAGTCGGAAGGCCCGTTGGAGCACCAAGCACCTATAGTACTAAGTAGTAGTTGCTGGAGCACCAATTCGCTGGGTGTCCATTGTGATGACCCCGAGGCGGTTCAAGATGGTTCAAGATGAGTCTCTGATGAGTCTCTGATGAACCATTCAGCGCCAGCAGTTCCAAAGGAGGGCTCTCTAAGATCTCTAAGTGAGTTGGATGGTCTCGGCATCCCTGTCCTCCGTTCGTTCCGCACCACGACATAGAACTGTTGATGCGTCTTGATATCACATTGCTATAGCAGAAGACCCTTACAGAACAGGGCTGCCGTCTGTATTTCTAAGAACACTCGCCTGAGATCTCCAGTGGTGGATCTCCAGTCTTACGACATCTCAAATTGCCAACCCTCCGTCATGAAAAACCTGTCGAATGCCAACCCTGCCATCAATGTTCATCTCTTTGAAGGACACATGTCCGGAAAATGAACTTTGAGAAGCTCCATGTTATGTGCCTTCCTGAGTGTAAAAAACACAGATCAAGCGACACAAAAGAAGCACCCTTGGTATCCCTTGGTGGGTTTTGGTTGAGAAAACCATCGTGCGACGACGCTCTATACAGGTTGAATCCTCCTATGAAAGTCAACAGAATGTAGTATCTGCCAAGCCATTCCGAGCTTTAGGTTGTTGGTCTATTGAAACATATATTATGACTTAATGGGTCTGGTCTCTGGTCTCCATTCATATGTTATCTCCCGACCGCACTCTTTCAGTCAACACCGCAGTTTCACAGTGGTGGAGGAACATGACCCCAACGGCTCCACGGGCGGGTCCCCTGCGGTCCCCTGCGGCTGCCCACGTCTGGCGAAATATATGTCGAGGTGCCAGGTGTCAAGGCACAAGAACTTCTTCTCGAAGTCCAAAGCCTCTCGCCATCCCTTGGCCTTGATTCACGTTGGGCCCTTCTCAATGAAAACGTTTCACATGAATTCATGTTGGGCCCCATATGATGCAAAAAGTCAGTGCCGCACTTCTCAATGAAAACGCTTCAAATGAAAGATGAAAGCATGCCTAGGCCCCCCGGCCCCCCAATCTGATGGCAAAATCTCAGTGCCACACTGACTGAACATGCAACACTCGATCAAGGAACCGAAGGGTTCCACGTGATGTGACGTTGTTTCGTTTCGAGGCACCTGCAACCCCCATTTTTACCGGGCACCTCCCACCTCCCCGTCCTGAACTCGAATAGGAACATACCAGGACCCGGGGTGTTCATTTGCGTAGCCTCGTTCTTAGAGGAACTCGACGCATGAAACTCGGGGGTCCCAACGTGGCTCGCTCCAGTGGCTCGCTCCAATGGTCAAGCGTTGCGGGCCCCATGATGAGACTCTGTCACTGTGTCTGTGCCATAGATCAAGCCTGACCCCCGAAAGCTTGACCTGGCCGCGAGGTTGGCCATGTCTGGTGGCCCATTTGGGTATGTATCTTGAAAATAGGAAGACCCCCTGACCTCTTCTCGCCCCTGGGGTATAGACGTTGTGGTCGGTCGAGTCGTTGTTGGGGCGTTTCTTCTCCCACGTTGGATGGACCAAGCTGCTCTGATCATGGCAACGTCGTGTCAGTGGTACAAAAGTGGGAAGGGCCATGAAATAAATAACATCAAGTGGTGACCTGTTGGAGGGTCCTGCTACAAACATTATCACATTCATTCTCCCACTCCCAACCTTGAAGTGTCCCCCCAAAAAAACAACACAACCTTAATGTAGACTCTTGATTCATGAACTCCTCCCATTGTGATTGTGAACCCCTTCAAATTTGAGAGGTGACATCTCCTCAACAGTCTACAAACCCTCCGCCGCCTCATTTGTCCGGACTTCACCGCTGTGACTCCCGACGCATCCCTCACAGCTCTGCCGCAGCTGCTCTCCCCGCTGCCGCAGCACCCGCGGCCGCTGCACCCGCGGCGGCTCCGCGGCGAGCGGCTCAGGTTCGCCCGGCTGCGCCGCTGGAAGCGGCGCAGCTTCGGGGGCCGCGGTCGCGACCTAGTGATTCCAGATGCACGACCAGGTCTACGGCTACGGGGGAGGGATGGAACATATTCAGGAACGAACTTCCAGGAACCACATGGATTGAGTGTATGGCATCATATACCCTGGCTTCTGCCTTTGTCTAAGTCGTGGTCGGGTCAAGCTCCCACTGGGTGGTCGCTGGGTGTGGTCGGCCTTGTGATTAAGGTCGGCGGACGCGTGAAAGCTGGCTGTAAGATGCCATAAGATCAATTTCACTTATCATCTATCTGGGAGGCTACAGGGGTTGTTCATCTGATGCGCAAACTCCACAGGTGTTCTTTTTTTTTCCAAGGGGAATTTGTTTCAAGTCCCAATATGTCTTTTACGCACTGACTACGGTCCAACACAGCCTGCGGTGTTTTTTTCACTGAAGCTTCTGACTCAACAAAAAACAACAGGTTTTCCAACAGGTCAGCCCCTGCGACTTTTAGGTTGCCACTAGCCTCAAGAGGAAACCTGTTGGAGGGGGTGTCAGTAGCTGTCAGTAGCAAAGATTTGAAGCTGGTGTCACTATAGACGAAGCACACTTCTACATCTTCTACATTCTTCTACCCTTCCAGGGATCTAATGGTGAACATACTACCAGCACCCGAGTCTACAGGTCTCCAATGGAGACCAAATTTTCAGGTGGTGACCTGTTTCTCGTCGGGCGCTGACATCAGCGGGTTATGGCGCCAGGATACTGACCGGGCACGACCTACCTGGTGGACTAGTCGTTCGCGGCAACTGGTGGACTGTTCTAGATGGATTGGTGAGGTGCCATTGTGGTGTTCTTGTTTTACTAAACTAACTGTTACAGGTCATAGGAGAGACGCCACATCACATAGCCAGATGCTCCATGAAACATGCATGGCGCCCCAGAAAGACTCCGGTTCAATCAACGACCCCAATCCCTAGGGATCCAAGTACCTTCTAAGAAGGTGGGACTGGGGTGGGTGCCAGGAGGGTTCAAAACCTTCTCAGAAGGTACTTGGAGGTCCAGGGTGTCAGTCCCACAGTCAGTCTCATGGAGCATTCGGTATATAGTATGATTACTCTCCCTGGAACTAACGGTGGAAAACCCTTGGTTTGTAGTCTTCCGAGGGACCATTTTCCATTTCCATGTTAGTTCCAGAGTCTATCCAATTACCAGTAACAGCGTATGATGATGGTTAATAAAGGCCTTGTTCCAAACATAGTGATGCTCTTGTTTACTGACCGTTACAGGTAAGAACGGACAGACCCAAAGTAATGATGATGAACTTACCAGCACCTTCAGTTCGGGGTCACCAATGGATGGTTTCGCCCCAGCCCACCACTAAGTCACCAAAGTGATTAACCCAGGGGTCACAAGACGGGGTGGTGTTTGGTCCCATCCAGTGAGTGGAGTAGCTGGGCACCCCTAGCCTCCAAGTTCGGCACCCCTTTGTGACTCCTGGACTTATATATCCCTAGGGATCCAGTCGTACCTTCTCAGAAGGTGGGACTGGGGTGGGTGCCAGGAGGGTCCAGGTGCCTGCTGAGGTTCGGTACGACTGGATCCTTAGGGTATGTGACTCCAAGTCTTGCTGAAACGCGGTGTCCCGGGAACGAGTTCTCCGGTCCAACTAGAGTCCCAAGGTCCGGTCTCCGGTCTCCGGGTCGAAATGGGTTGGGAAAGGCGCGTGCCGGTTGAGAAGATGGTGACCTGGCAGTCCTCGGTGCTGGTGAAAAAAAGAAATTGAACAAACAGAAGATCCCGGCTTCAGGGATCTCTTCAGGGAGCTGAACTCAAGCGCATCCAGCCGTCGGCGCGGTTCTGGGAGCGGCGGCCGTGGCCGTCGTGGCGAGGCGGAGCTCGCCTGGTCGAGCTCGCTGGTCCGAGTCCGAAAGCCCTGCATGGGTTCTTCGTACTGCCACCGATGGTTTTGAATGTCTGAGTCCTAAAGAACCGGGGGTGCTTGACACAAGCCACGTAAAAAGAAAGGCCAGGGCGTCCGGAAATCCCGGATGGCCTCCAGTCGTAACTTCTGCAGAATGTGTTTGGGGTGGGTGCCAGGAGGGTCCAGTCATACCGAACCTGAGGAGGTACGAAAACGGAGGTGTAGGGAATAGGCGTATTACCTTTGCAAAATGATTGGGAGGACGCCCAAAAACGGACGACACCCGCTCCGTTCGGCTCCCTCCTTCACTTCTGCCCGCGCGAAGCGTGTGAGGAGTGCAGCCGCCGTGCTTTCACGCTGGTAGGTTGACCTCCTGTGTGAGGAACAAAAACAAACACAAAACGCAATGTCCATCACGGACACAAACAGACAGAGACGTCAAAACGCAATGTGTGTGTGGTTGACCTCCATCACTTAAAGGGTCTCCACTTCTTCAAAACATGGCCCATGGCTGCAAAGAGAAGCTCGACTTATGCCAGGAGACGGTCAAACGGTCTGCCCCCGCCCCCCAAAAAAAGTAAGACTCCAGATTCCAGATCTCTGATGAGAACACTTTTCATCACCACCCCCAAAAAAATGCGAGTTGCAACTCTCAGACCTCACCGCCCCATCTCATGATCTGGATCGAAGGAGATTGGATTCCAAGCGGCTTCTACGAGCCGGCTCGGGTTCTGCGTCACGCGCCGGCTCAGTCGGCGTCCCGGTGGTTTGTTTCGTCAAAAAGAAAACACACCGGTCAAGGACTGGACCTGACCGGTCAGCGCACGATTCCCAAACACTCCATGTATGCCATATATGCCTACATTGGGGTGCTTTGAGGGGTCAATGCAGGCAGATATGGCATACATGGAGTGTCTGGGATTGGTACGTAGATGTACGTCGTGTTTCTGACCAACTTCAGTACAATGAGGTTGATGCCAGGTACCATACCAGGTACCCCAAAGTACGTGACGCCAGGTGGTTCACAGGGTGTAGGTGGAGACGCTTCACGACGTGGCAACGACTCCGTGGCAACGACTCCGTGTTCATGAATCAGGATACCGGATGCCATGCAGAAGGTCGGTTAACGGTTGGTATCCAACATCTGGCCCATCTGGCGCCATTCAGAGAGTGACATCCAGGAATCGGTCGTTGGACTCGGTTCAAAGAGTCTTGTGACACCAAAAGCGCGCGTTCTGCGGCGCGCAACGCGCCGCGCCTGTGGTACTTGCCATGGCGAACCCATGGAGACGTGTGGATGCGACGCTGAAGGGGTTTGGTCATGGCGTGGCATGTTTTAGCCCCCCAAAGTCTCTTTACTTTAAGGGAGCACTGGAGTAAGAACAACACGAAGCCACGAAAAAAAAACAAATAATGGATCTACTGGACATCGAGTCACTCTGAAGGAAAACACCATACAGTATATATAATAGTCTACAAATGCATCCAAACAATAAGGATAAAAAAGGAACATGTGATCTCGTCTTCAAAGACTCAATAGAACTCTGACACGATCTTTGCGATTGCAACAAAGAGGAAGGCCTCCCACAGGGAAAGGGGACATGCTGAATAATTGAGTAGTCTTCCCTGAACATAGCCTATGTCATAGTTTTCATGTCACTAAACAAATTGCAGTGCATTCATGGCTGATACATGTTGAAAACATCGGAACTCGTCTTCAACGCAAAGCTCAAGCTTGAACCATGCAGCAAAAGCGGAACCTTGAAATGATTGCTGAACATGGGCTCCATGGTGATGTCACAACTTTTGTTTTAGTCCCGCCAATACAATCAACTGCCGTGACCAAAGCATCATCCTAGGCCATTTTCTGCTTTGCCTTCGTCCTCCTTTCCAATAAATTTAAGTCAGACCCAGTCTAATTCTAACCCAGTCAGTGAACTTGTTTGAGTCAAGTTTTGAACTCCAGCTGCTCCATTGTCTACCATCACCAGTTCCAAATCCCTCGCACCAGTTCCCACCAACGCTCCAGTTCCCAACCCTCCGCAACGCTCCAATCCCTCGCCGCTGAGAGTGACGGACACCCGGTCCGTCCACACCTCCGTCCTCACCCGGTCCGTCCGTTTTCTTCGCGTCGCGGGGGAGCGAGTGAAACAGCCGCGGCCGCAGGGTTCGTTTTTGGCGCGGCCAGGGTGGTGCGACCGGAGCATCGACCTGCCAAATCTTCGCAGATCGAGTGATTTCGGGACCAGTTTCTTCCGCGTTCCGGTTCGGGGGGTTTCTTCCGCGTTCCGGTTTGCGAATAAACGGACGGTCCCGGTCGTGTTTGGGTCTCGGTTTCTGATTCGGTAATCACTCCTCAGTCCTTTGAGACCAGGTGTATCTGGGGAACGAAAACCAATATAGACCACAGTAAGTGGAGCTCCCACATAGGACTTCCAGCTAAGCACCACGGAAAAAAGAGCGAGGAACCGAATGCCGAATGCCGTCCCAGCGATTTTTCGCTTTGGCCGTCAGCGTTGGCAAAACGTATGTTCGACAGCCATGGCGCCGGTGGAAGAATCCTGTTCGCAAAAAGCTGCACTCACACTGTGACAGCAACTTTCTTGTACGCATGATATTTTTGCAGTTGGTGCAGGAAAGACACTCTAAAGACCAAAGAACGGCATCCTCTAAAGGCACCAGTCCCAATGTGTGTGACGGAATCCGGCATGGTCAATCTCGCCAATTTGCGGCAATCTGTAAAGGCATTGTTCCCAATGTGGGTCACAGAAACTGGAATGGTCAACCTGGACAAAGAGCTGCAACCAAGAAAAACACAATTCCCGATATGGGTCACGGAGTCTGGGATGGTCAAGCTCGTTAAAGAGCTACAATCAAAAAATGTACCTTGCTCAATGTGGGTCACTGAGTTTGGGATGGTCAAGCTTCTCAAAGAGGTGCAACACCTAAAGGCACAACTCCCGATGTGGGTCACTGAGTTTGGGATGGTCAAGCTCTCCAAAGATCTGCAATGAGCAAAGGAAGCAACCCCAATGTGGGTCACTGAGTTTGGGATAGTCAAGCTCACCAAAGCCCTGCAATCACAAAATGCACCATTGTCAACGTGGGTCACTGAGTTTGGGATAGTCAGGCTCACCAAAGAGCTGCAACCGCGAAAGGCATCAATTCCGATGTGTGTCACTGAGTCTGAGATGGTCAAACTTGCCAGAGAGCCGCAACCCCAAAAGACACTAAACCCAATGAGGATCACTGAGTTCGGGATGGTCAAGTTTACAAGAGAGCTGCAACCTGCAAAGGCACTACTCCCAATGTGGGTCACTGAGTTCGGGATGGTCAAGCTCGTCAAAGACCTGCAACGAGCAAAGGCACAACTCTCAATGTGAGTTACAGAGTTTGGGATGGTCAAGTTCGCCAAAGAGCTGCAACCCGAAAAGGCAGCTCTCCCAATGTGGGTCACTGAGTCTGGGATGGTCAAGCTCACCAAAGAGCTGCAACAATAAAAGGCGTCAATCCCAATACGCGTCACTGAGTCTGGGATAATCAACTTTGCCACTTGCTTGCAGTCCTCAAAGGCCTTGTCAACAATTCGAGTTTCATTGCTTGGGAGTTCAACAACGAGCAACACTTCGGGGTCAATCTCACTGCTGCGGCTGTCGATCTCATCTCTGTTAGAGCATCTAACTCTGTTTGGCTTGAAGAGAACGCTCACAACAGCACCTGCAGTGACCCCTACATCCGCCACTGTTTCATCATTGCCCATGAAACGCTCTCCAAGAACAATCTCCACCCCAGTAGTTCTGCGAGTATCCTCGTCCCAGGTCAGCTGCCCTTCTTTGATCTGCTGCTTTAGCACTCTACCTGTTGTCTCTGGTGTCACTTCAAGACAAAGTGACTCGCCGCTCACCTGTAGTGCCGAAATGTTCATTGGCATTGGCCGCTGGCCAACAATATTGCTGTTTCCGGCAAAATTTTGAAGTCGGTGTCCTGTCCAAGTTGCTCAATGTGTTTGCTTATGTTTGCTGTTATTGTATTCGGTCCAGGTGATACTTCTGAGTACCAAACTGCATTATCTAGGGTCAACAACGCAACGTTCATTCATAATTATCGATGTCTCTGCTGGAAACTGCTCCCACCAGGTTTCTTTCTAAGACAGCACTCTTCGTGTACAGCTGAGTCTGGGGGTCGAACATGACTGCGGCCGATTCAGCTGAAGCGGGCTGCGATGCGTTCGTTGCATGCTTTTCCACCGATCGCTCGGAGCGCGAACGATCCGGGTCAAACACCATCTGTCCACCCAGACTCCCCAAACAGCCCGACTGGTCCCTCAAAACCAGGGATTTCAGGGTCCAGACCCCTCCAGAGGATTCGGGTCCGACCCCTGCATAGGTTCGGGTCCAGGGTCGCGTCTGGGCAAAGCCTCATTGGATTTAAAAGTGGGGCAATATTATATATTTCTTATACACTAGCCTATAGCCTAGCAACTATTTGGAATTAAATAAGTTGCTATCATCTTAATTTATGAGCTTTTGCCAATATGCCATCGTCTTTTAAATTAAGAGATAGCCGATGGCCTAGCTGCATAATAAAATTAAAGCAGCTATCATGATTAGTAGATAATAAAAGAAAAGTTACCATCATGGCCTTTCACCTCCAGTGCCCGGACCGATTCCATTCGTCCGGTGGTGGTCACCAAGAGGCACCCCCGGTCATCACCAGACTTAGGAGGCTGTTGATAGACACCTCGGCTGGTGGAAGGTCCTGGTGTTGTTCAGTTCACATGTTGAACAAAAACACCTCTGCCTCCCGACGCTCCGAATTCACGACGCCCGACTTCCTGGTCCCGAACCAAACCATAGGGATTGGTGAGAAACCCCAGACCCCTCCATGAGGATTCGGGCCCAGGGTCGCGTCTGGGCGGAACTCAATGGGAACTGATGGTGTTCGTGGCGCGGAGTCCACTTCGTCCACTTCCGGCCCGAAGTGGTCAGCCAAATCAACGGTCGATGTCGGGCGCCGGAGCTGCACCGTGACAAACCGTGGTCCACACCGGTGGAACTAGCTCATCCCCTTGGACCTGGTGAAGTGCGGGAACTGTGGAGTCAGGTGATGTGTTCCCGAAGTGGTTCAATCCCCTAACCCTAAAGGAAATACCGATGTTTTTCTAGGTTCCTGGACAGCACATCCCCAAGTTTCACTGCAGTGAGTGGTGGGGTGCAGCACCCTAGTTCCGCCCAGTCACCGTATGGGCACACCGGCAGATGGAACACCCCGTGCCGGCGGTCCCGCAGTCCCGTCCTCGCCGCCACCCGGCCCGAACAGTTCGGCTGCAGCTCAACATGCTCCGGTCTATCATGTTGTGACAACTCGACACCAAAGGATGTCTTCAGCTCCTGGAACATGCCGGAAGCCTCCAAACACCACCCTCTGTCCTCTTCATTTGTGGGCACAACCAAGTAATAAGAAACATTCCAGCACCTTCAGTTCGGGGTCACCTGGCTGTTGCCGCCCCAACCCACTACTATATAAGGGACCTCCAGCCAGGACACCCCCAAATGTTCAGGTCTCCCTAAGAATCCTTGGGCTCTCATGGGAGGGGTCGGACCCGACACTGAAACGCAGGGGTCTGGACCCTCAAAACTCTATGTATTTGAGGGCCCGGATTCTCAGGGCTGGGTGAATTCCTCGGACCTTCGGAACCGTGACCGACACTTCCGTCGCACACCCGGCCTCGCACCACCGTCGGGTGACATCCGGTGACCGGTCGCCTCGTAGACGCGGTGTGACGTGGGTAAAAGCAGCACGGGACGCATGGGTTAAAGACATGAAAACAAAGGATACAACAATATAGAAGTAGTTGTGGATCAGAATGTTTTAGCCTCAACTATAGTCATGGAGTCATTAAACCATATGTTTTTATAAATTTGTTGTGTGTTGATGTCTAATATTGTTTAATTGTGTTTAACTGTTTTGGTATGTGTTGTTTTTTGGATATGTTTGACTTGATGTTCATCGTTACTTCGTGTTTTTCACACGTAACTACAGCTGACTACAAGAGTTGGCGGCATTCCCATCACGTCAGGCATCATGCTGCTACCCCCAGGCATCATGCCACCTCCCATCATGCCAGGCATCATCGCTGGCATGCCACCACGAGCTTTCTTTGCCCCCCGATTTACAAACGTAACATGCCACACTTATCACACAAACACACACACACACACACTGTTACAAACGACAGCGGACACGATTCATACAGCAGATTTGTGTTTTATGTGCATTTGTGCGTGGCTGAGATTGTTGGTGTTTTTTTGAGTATTATGTGCTGAACCCTTCCGATCTAACATCCCTGAGACTGCGTGAAATACACTGAGTGTTCTTGTTTTATTTTTACTTTTGGCCGTTTGAAATAGAGTTGCCTTTAGTAGTACCATGAAACCTTCCGATCTATATAACTTGTTCCGAGATGTTTTTGACATGTTTGACATGTTTGAGTTTTGTTGTCTGTTCTATGTGTGTTTTATTTGTTTACAGTTGCTTTCACTTTAGTTTGTAGAGTTCATTTTTCTGTTACAATCACTGCATACACCTGACAGTCACCGCATACAATGGAACAGAACATCAGCAATCACTGCATGCAAGTGACATGGTTGTCCCATCTTTCATAGTTGTCTCTAAAAACGACCGATGCCTTTAATTATATTATTGTATATTATATGTTGTCTTTGATCTTCGAGATTTATGGGCCAGTTTTTGATCTCAAAGCATGTAAAACAATTGATCTCCCATCAAAACTCTTCTGCTCGAGCGAACTGTCTCAGCTGATATATCAAGTTTGTTGTCTAATACCTGAACGGTGTTTTTCCTGGTTTCTTTCAAACGGTGTTGATGTGTTGAACACACTGAAAGACTTCACGGATGTCAAAGGGCCAACGGATGTCAACGGATCAAACAACGGTGTTGTTTTAGACAAACCAAGAGAGGTTTTTCACAGCCCGTCTTGTCGCCCAAGGAAACCACAGGATCCCTGGGTCCGACAGGATCAGCGACCTCTCAAGCTCTCTTGGAAAAGAGGGGATCCATGAAGCAACAACAAAAACAGAACAGACCTGCGGTATACCCCCAGAACAGACGATCGAAGGAAGAAAACACCAATGAACACCTACAAAGGAGCTTTGTATGACTCATGCCACTTGGCTCCACAATGCTCCACACAAGCGAGGCAGGAACAAGCTAAACACCTACCCAGAACTTTCAATGACTATCATGTTACCCCACCTGGCAATGACTGTCATGTTACCCCACCTGGCAGTCATGATCCACCAGTTGCGGGGGAGTCATGAGTTGTCCACTGGACAGCGTCACCTGGTGAGTTTCCTCATGTCTTCACTCTCTGTCCAGTTCAGTGGAACCAAGTGCCGCTCCTCCGGGGACCCCGGACACTCCTCTCCCCGGCGGGTCCGTCCCACTGGGCCGGTCTCGGTCCGATGTCGGGGTCGGCTCCGAGAGCTGGTCGGTGACGTATCAGTTTTGATGGGTTTCGTTGGGAACTGGTAGGCATTTCCCCTAGGCCTCCAGTCGTACCGAACCTGAGGAGAAGGGGGAACTGGGGTGGGTACCAGGAGGGTCCAGTCATACTGAGGTTGTGAGGAGGTACGAAAACGGAGGTGTAGGGGCAACACAAAAAGAACCGCTGAAGAGCATTGAAGAGCGGCATGATATATGCTAGCTTTCACCTCCTAATCGAAGAGACCCTCAACAAAATAAGCACATTGCGCACCTTCGGCAGAAGGAGTCACAGTCAAAAGTTAAAAGTGTAAAATGTAAACGAAAACACCCCGCTTGGCGATGCCTTTGGATGGTTCTGGTAGCTGAAGAAGACCGTGATTGGCGCTCTGCAGATTGAATTCTCCTACCAATCCTCCCAAACTCTGCAAGGTCACTAGTCAATTTCCACCTGAGGTATTTCTCTTGACCTTTGTTGGCCTCAAAATAGAAAACATAGACTGTACAGGTCTGCGAAACGGTGGCTGGAGACGCGTTTTGGTTCGGCGAAACGGCGTCCTGGTCCATCGCAGGTTTCACCCTCGCTAGTGACTCGCCTCAAGAGAGGTGGATAGTGACCTGAACGTCCGGACCCGTCACCAGGGGTACCCAACTGGGATCGTCGAACGTTCGGGTCATTCAACCTCGACTCGCCCGTTGACACCCACTGAAACTCGCCTTCACCGCCGTCCAGCAGGCACCAGCGTGCTAGATGCGCCGAAGCACCTGCGTCCGGCGCTCCGGCGGCGGACGAGACCGCAAGCAAGTCGGGGAAGAAGCCTGTTTCACCAACACGAGATTCATGAACATTGGGCATGGGGAAACCTGCCGAAACTAGGAAACTCCACTTGTTCGGGTGTGTGTGTGTGTGTGTACAAGAAACAGACTGCAAAGGTCCATGTTTCACACCTTTGAAGCTTATTGTGTTTCTTTCTTCTTGTTTTACGGTGCTTTGACTACTTTCTTTATTAGTTCTCAGTGCACATCAGTGCACTGCGTGCATGTGGTGCGTGGAAGAAGCTGGAACCTGGCAAACATGAAGGCATGCACCTGCCATTCTCATTCATTCGAGCTCGGAACCCGTAATAGGGACTCACCAAACATCACTCCCTCCCCAACGCTCTTACGTCCATGGAGATCACATTGTGTACCAGTCACTATAGGGGAAGGTGCTTTAGGTTCGCTGCTTTATCGTTTTACATCGTGTTTTCTTATTGTTGTGGTGATCGCTTTCGTGTCTGGTGCCACCCCAGCAAAGAGTGGAGACGGTCGTCTGTGGTCCATACTCAACACACTAAACCCGAACGTCCGGGGTGATTCTGATCGTTCACATGTTCTTCCTGGATGCGTGGATATCCGTGGATTGAGCATCTGTTGGCCGAACAAACATGCAAAGATTACGTACATAAGATTACATATATTATATTACAAGTTCTTACATTGTGTTGCTTTACAATTTCCCGCTTGCAAACAAAACAAAGCGACTCAATCAAGTCCTGCTGAATCCAACATGATAGAAAAAAACAGACTTTATGGGGTCTATAATCCATGCGTTCATCATGAAGCCTCAAATCGATGCTCAGGCCACCACCACACCCAAAGAAAACCTGCCAAAACATGCCAAGACCAAGACCGCCACAAGACACCGCAGCCCGGTCACACCCTTCTTTGCTTCGCGGTCCGGCGCGGTCCGGTGGCCCCATTCGTCCGCTCCGAGCGACGTGCGGTCAGCGCGGGTCGCTGCTCGCTGTCAGAGGTCGAGCGTCACCGAGTCGCCTGTGATAACTTTGCAGCTGGCGAAGGAAAGACGCTCTCAACACCAAGGAGCGGCATCCTCCAAAGGCACGAAACCCAATGTGTGTGACAGAGTCCGGGATGTTCAATCTCGTCAAAGAGCTGCAGTGTCGAAAAGCTTCATCCCCAATGTAGGTCACTGAGTTTGGAATGGTCAAGTTTGTCAAAGAGTAGCAGTCTCGAAAAGCTTCATTCCCAATGTAGGTCACTGAGTTTGGAATGGTCAAGTTTGTCAAAGAGCTGCAATCCGAAAAGGCACCATTCCAAATGTGTGTGACAGAGTTCGGAATGGTCGAGGTCTCCAAAGAGCTGCAATCCGAAAAGGCACCCCCTCCAATGTGGGTGACAGAGTTTGGGATGGTCAAGTTTGCCAAAGAGGTGCAATTCTCAAAAGCACTGATCCCAATGTCGGTCACTGAGTTCGGGATCGTCAAGTTCACCAAAGAGCTGCAACCTTGAAAGGAATAATGCCCAATGTGGGTCACGGAGTTCGGGATGGTCAGGCTTGCCAAAGACCTGCAATTCGCAAAGGCACTATCTCCGATGTGAGTCACAGAGTTTGGGATGGTCAAGTTCGCCAAAGAGCTGCAACCCGAAAAGGCGAAATTCCCAATATGCGTCACTGAGTCTGGGATAATCAACTTTGCCAATTGTTTGCAGCTGTTGAAGGCCCTGTCAGCAATTCGAGTTTCATGGCTTGGGAATTCAACAACAAGCAACAGTTCTGGGTCAATGTCACTGCCCAAGCTGGCAATCTCATCTCTGTTAGAGCATCTAACTCTGTTTGGCTTGAAGACCACGCTCACAACGTCACCTGCAGTGACCCCTACATCCGCCACTGTTTCATCATTGCCCATCAAACGCTCTCCTAGAACAATCTCAACCCCAGTAGTTCTGCGAGTCTCCTCGTCCCAGGTCAGCTGCCTTTCTTTGATCTGTTGCTTTAGCTCTCTACCTGTTGTCTCTGGTGCCACTTCAAGACAAATTGGCTCGCCATTCACCTGCAGCGCTGAGATTCTCATCGCCATTGGCCAGTAATCTTGTAGTAGTAGCACACTGATTCTGAAGTCTATGTCCCATCCAAGTTTGCATTACAATCCCTTTTCTTTTCCTTTGCCTTGGTGCTACTTCTGATAAATGGAACGGCTCAGTGGAACAATCCTTGAGAAAACGCTGTCAGTATCCCTGGAATTTGGAGGGAAACGAATCCGCCTACACCTCCAAGCACCTTCAAAGAGGGACCTAGAGAGGTTGAAGAGCCCTGTTTCGCCCATCCCATATGTACCACAGACCAGGGTCCGAACGTGAAGCGGTCTCTCAACCTCTCTTGGGAGGTGTTGTCCACTAGTACTGAACTTTCGAGCGACGGTACCACCGTCCGGAGATCGATCGATCGAGCAACACTCCACGGAGATCCAATGACCCGCAAACCGCCGCGGAGGAGGCGAAGAAGCAGCTGTTCGTACCCGAAGGAAAACCTCCAGTTGGTACCAGAGGTGGGTCAGAACCCGAGGTGGGTCAGACTATGGCCGGTTGGGTACCCCAGGTTTTCCGGGTCCGACTCGTGACCAGGTCACTGGCTACCTCTCTTGGTTACCCGAACCAGAAACGGGACATGTGGCCATGGGGCCTCAGAGAAAGAAGGGACCAACAGGTACGAACGGCTTGGGTCCAGGTCTTGGGGTGAAACACCCTGCTTCACCATGTTGCACCATGCTTGTATATAGAATCGATCATGACGATCTTTATGACAGGTACCTTCGGATTCGACGGGAACCCTTCGGGCGTCGAATCCGTTGATACAAAACGAGACACCAGACCACTTAGAAACACGCACTGCTTCGGTGCACACGTTCCGACCCCTTCTCTTCCATGACCAAAAGCCACCATATGAGCCGTCCCACACCCGCCGTCAGAACACGGCTTCACGCCGTTCAAAGCCACCGAAACGTCGGCCAAGCCTGACGGGACGAGGCTGCATCTGACCTGGTGGAGCCCAGACCGGCGCCTCAGCGTCCTTGCAGGTGCGTTCGGGCAAGAAACCCGAACAAACCACCAGCCCAGACACTCATGGACCTCTCATATATGGAGGGGTCGGACCCGAATCCTCGGGTCAGGGGTCAAGGGCTGTTTGGAGCGTCTGGGAGATTCATGTGAACATGTGTGAACATGACAATCATGGGCAACAAACAGAACACGGCGGGTAGAAGACGGAAGAACTGCCTGTGGGCAGTGTTCTTTCCTGCTTGCTGTATCGCGGCATGAGAGTCCTGGCTTAAGGATTCATAAGGAATCTCCAGTTTACCACTTAAACCGACTCAATCGATTCCTGCTGACTCCAACATTTACAGCAGACTTTATGGAGTCTCTAATCCATGCGTTCATCACCGCAAAAGCCGCTGCATATCCATGCCGATCAGGCATGGCACTCGGTACTCTTCTCGATGCGCACCACGGCCGGCACCACGGCACCCCAAAACACAACCGACCACACGACACCGCAGCCCGGTCACAACCTTATAGGACTCACCAGGGGTACCGAACTGGGATAGTCTATAAAATTCTTCAACCTCTGTTGGTCACACCTCTTTTTCGTGGCTTCGGGGATATAGTTATAGCCTCTAGCCATAGCACCCATCGGCCGCTCCTACGCCGCACCCTCGCGGGTCGCTGTCATGGAGGGTTGGATGGTTGGCACCATGGTGACTTCGACTCAAATTGACTCCGAAAAAGAACAAGGCAATTGACATTCGTCTTGCGAGCCTTGCTCAGATTGGCGCTTCAAGAATGCCATTATTCTGAGCCATCTGTATCCATCTGTCGACGTCTCTTGACTCTACTACGATATTTTTGCAGTTGGCGCAGGAAAGACGCATACCCAGACACTCCATGTATGCCATATATGCCTACATTGACCCCCCAAACCACCCCAATGTAGGTAAATATGCCAGTCCCATGGAGTCTCCAAAGAATAGCATCCTCCAAAGGTACGAAACCCAATGTGCAAAGACAGAGTCCGGGATGTTCAATCTCGCCAATTTGTGGCGTTCCCAATGTGCGTCACCGAGTTCGGGATAGTCAAGTTCACCAAAGAGCTGCAACGCGCAAAGGCACTGTTCAAAATGTATGTCACTGAGTTTGGGATGGTCAAGCTCACCAAACAGCTGCAATACTTAAAGGCATCAACCCCAATGTGGGTCACTGAGTCTGGGATGGTCAAGTTCGCCAAAGAGCTGCAATTGTAAAAGGCACCATCGCCAATGTGGGTCACTGAGCCTGGAATGGTCAAGTTCTTCAAGGAACTGCAACCACAAAATGCATTCTCTCCAATATGCGTCACTGGGTCTGGGATAATCAACTTTGCCACTTGTTTGCAGTCCTCAAAGGCCCTGTCAGCAATTCGAGTTTCATGGCTTGGGAGTTCAACAACGAGCAACACTTCTGGGGCAATCTCACTGCTGCGGCTGTCGATCTCATCTGTGTTAGAGCATCTAATTCTGTTTGACTTGAAGAGAACGCTCACAACACCACCCGCAGTGACCCCTACATCCGCCACCGTTTCATCATTGCCCATCAAACGCTCTCCTAGAACAATCTCAACCCCAGTAGTTCTGCGAGTATCCTCGTCCCGGGTCAGCTGCCTTTCTTTGATCTGTTGCTTTAGCTCTCTACCTGTTGTCTCTGGTGCCACCTCAAGACAAATTGGCTCGCCATTCACCAGTAGCGCTGAGATTCTCATCGCCATTGGCTAGTATAACCAATCCCACACACTCCATGTATGGCATATTTACATGCATTGACCATTGACCTCTGAAACCACCCAATGAACTTGGCTGGGTTTTATGGATGGAAAGGCAAACATGTTGCATAGTTGGAAGATCCAGGTTGGGCTGATCCCCGAAGAAAAATAAAACATGCTTGGTCTGCAAACAGCTGAATATGAAGGCTCCCATGGTGGTGTTTCAGGATGTAAAAGTATCTGCAATCTCCAGTTTCGACATGGTTTAGTTTAGATCTTCAAGGAACGTTTCGTTTCTGGATGTCTTTCCCCTGCTTCACCTGCTCATCAAGGAATCTACACCTCCCGTGACACCATAGCCAGGCAGGAAGCTTCGAAAGGTTCCTCTTGGAGCCCCAGCATGCCGCTCTCATCTGGAAGCCTAGCAGAACGTTTCTTTTCATCTTCATGAAGGAAAGAAACTTCTCTATAGTCTTGGATTTGCTTGAGGAACTAAAAAAAACGTCTAAAAACTCACATATTCACCACAAAGATCCACAAAGGGTATATAATATACATAAAGATAACACTGTTCACCATGAGGAAAGTAACATCACCTTAAGCAGTTCGTGCAGCGGAAGGACGTTGCGTCATGAGTCGGACGGGTTCGCGGGAGGCTTTGCTCAGGTGACGCCCAAAGCGAACAGGCTCTTTCAGGTGACGCGCAAGCGTGGAGCTCTTACCAGAAACCATTCAGACTTAAGCAAATCAAGGGCACAAGACTATCAGTTATATAACAGTTATATACATCTATACTTTAGATGTGCAACAAGAAAGGTGACTGTCTTGGACGTTGCCGCTACATGCCACTCCAGTTCGTTGACCTATAGAAATACAACATCATTATGCCACCTTACCTCAGCTGCATCGTAGAGTTTCCCTTCCCAACCCCCAAATGTAACGAAATCCTCCCCAAATGAAACGAAACAGCCTTATCCACGGCGTGACAATTCCTTGCAAAAGGAATCACCAGCGCCGACTCTGCTCCAACACCTCCGACTCTGCTCCAGGGCCGGATCGAAGAGAGTGACAGGGGCGTGAAGAAATGCGACGCGAAGGAATGATGCCAAGCCTTTTCAGGCACTGAACCAAGCTTTTTGGAAATCAGCTCGTTAAGCTCGTGAAAGAGCTACAACCCCTATATACCCCGTTATGACTCGTTATGTACCCTAGCTATATATACCAGGTGGGGTAAAATGAATCATTGGACGTTCTAGGATTTGCAAACATTCTCAAGATGTGTCGCTAAGTCTGGGATGGCCGGTACTTTGCCAGAGAGCTGCAGGCATTCAGGCATAGAGGCACGGCACCATTTCCAATGTGGGTCACGACTGGCTGAGCTGGGATGATCCTGCCGCTTTTAGCCTTGCCTTAGCCAAGCCTTGTCACGCCGCGCAACGCCGCGCCTTCGCCTAGTCACGCCTGCAGCTCGTCGACCGAGCTGGGCCGCGGCAGAAGGCCATGGAGCCTCTCAAGGCCTGACCCAGATGCGATCCAGATCGGACCCGAACCGTTCTGGAGGGGTCGGACCCGGGGTCTCCGAACTGGTCAGGGGTCTGGGGTTTCTCACCAATCCCGATCGGTTTCTGTTTTCACGGAGCGTCTGGGGATAATCCGAGCATCTCTTTCTCTGAGGTGCTTTGAAAACAACACACAGCAGGAGTATCCTTAGTGAGCCCCACGTCTGCCGTCTGCTACTTGTTCATCGTTTGCTGAGGAAAGGCTCTCATCGCGCTCTCATCTGTGTGTGCTCTTATGTGCGAATGTCAAAAGTCTCTACATGCATGCATGCATATATGTCCATGCTGTCGTTCTTTCAACACTGTTTGGGTCACTTGCCCGGATAATGCTGTTTCTTTTGACTTCTATTTCAATTGGCAGTGTTTACGTGATGATGTCTGAAAAAACTCTGGACACGCGCACTTGCTACTAAACTGGACCTCACTTGAAACCTGTTTAGTTGGATCAACAACTCCAGTCCGGTGACATGGCGACTCCTTTGGAACATCGAACCGGGAACCCAAAACGGACCCGACTGACCCGACGAACCAATGGGAGTTCAACATCGAACCGGGAACCCAAAAACAGGTCAGGTTCCGCACCCATTCTCTGAGGTGATCTTCCCAAGGACTCCAGGTGATCTTCCCGACTCCAGGGTTTTTTTGGTCATGACCCCGAACCTCGGGACCCAAAACATCACCCGATCCGCAAAACATCATCCCAAAATGGCGAATTGCACCCAAATGCTGTTTGATACTTCCAGCTTCCAAAATTGCATTCGATCAAAACAAACCTGTTTGAAGATGTCGGCTCCTGGTACAACAAACATGGACATCTGCATCTTGTTTCTTGCATAGTCTGCCGAGCGACATCCAGTCCCCCCTGACGTCCCCATCGGACGGGCGCCTGAGTCGGTACCAGCAAAATCAAATGCTGATGTCGCCACGACACCAGGCTCCTGCTGACTCCTGCTGACTCTCAAATACTCGAGTCATATCGGTTTTTAATGTTGTATAGAGTCCATGTGCTCCCTTAGTGAGGAAGTGCTGAAATGTGGTCGTCCTCATGCCTGCTGTGTATCGCTGTATATCAATTAAGATAGTTGACTTGTATATATACTTGTATATGTATATGCATTGTATGTGACGATGTTCAATAATTAGTGATCCATGTTCAAGTGTTTTCCTAATTGATGTTAGATATTATAAATATATTAGATTATATACTATATTTGAGATCTGGATAACACTGTCTACAGCTGGGAAAACAACAAAAACACTTGTCGAGGAATAACTCCAGCATACTCCAGCTATAGTTGATTCGGAATTCAGCTGCAACCACCTTGCACCTTCGACATCTTATGCCGTCTTTGACCTTTCATGTTTGTTGACCCGTTGAAACTTGAACCTGCACAACAAAAAATCATTCAAGTGTATACCGATCAATCTTCCAACTATGCAACACTTCTGCCGAACTTGGCTGTTTTTATAGATGAAAGATGATGAACCATATTGAGGCTTCTAAAGGCATAAATGAATGTTGCACAGTTAGATTCACTTAACTTCTGACTGTTGATCATATACCAGGACCTTGCAACAGGCCACCACCTGGCACTTTTAAGTCTCCAAAAGCCACCAAAGGAGACCTGTAGAGTCGGGCGCTATATGTAAGCAGTCTTCGTTGATTTGCCAGGCCACTCTTAGCTGAGCCGGCAGAGCGAATGATTGGCAGCTGTCAGAGGTCCAAGTTAGTATAGCCTTCACCCGGGCAACCATGTGTCACAGTTGTTCTTGTTTCACACGGCTTTTGATGTTCTTTTTCGGCGAGTTCGTCCTCACCAGCGGAGCTCTACTCAGAGTTCAGCTTGAAGAGCGTGTAAGACCTGGCGAAAGAAGAGATTGTGATGGATTGTGCATGATTGTGCCATCCACTCTGAAGCCCCTGTGTTATATTCCAGTCGCATGTATGATTGTGGGGGCTCCCGATTGGTCGGTCGACAGTGTTCCAATACTGCGCCACCTCATACTCTGGTGACCTCCAGCGCCCTCCCCCAATCAGCGTCTGCTACCAGCTGTGAGAGTTTCCGCATGATCCGGGATGGACACTTCCAAAAGTCAACAGGGTCGGCTGGACAGGATAGGAGGGTAGGAGATGGTAGGAGTGCATGGATCTCCAGATCCCAACGGCTGCAGGCTGCAGGAGGGTCCCGTGCCACCTCCGCAGCCACGTCCCACCTCCACCGTCCACGATTGGCCTCCCCATCGGTTGATGCGCCGCCGAACTCGATGCACCGTGCACGATCGTCCCCGCACGACGGTGCTGGCCGAGTCACGTCTCTAAGCCCTGATACTCGATGACTCGAACCACCTTCGGCAGTGAGAAGGGCGGAAGCTCATAGTCGTACTTGATGTAGGTCCTCGGCCAAAACCAAGCTCCGGCGAGTCTGGGCGAGTCTTGGTACGCAGCTCGTGGATGGGTTTTGCCTTTTGGGACAGTCGGAGCTGAGGTCGATTGGAGAAACACAAGCTGGGCGCTGGGCCTTTTCAGACCGAGAAGAGGCCAAAAAGGGGCCCAATTGATTGAAAAAGGGTCACTTGATTGGCAAATATGCCAGTCCCATCAAGTGTCACTGGGTAATTCTAGATCTTCTAACTGTGCCATTCAGGTACGCCTTTTCATCTACAAAACCAGCCAAGGGCCCAGAGGCAGACGTTGTGCATAGGAATTATATGGTTGCCCAGACGCGACCCTGCCCTCATATGGAGGGGTCTGGGGTCTCAAATCCCTAGGTTTTGATGGGACCGGTCGGGCTGTTTGGAGCGTCTGGAGATCTATACCGCAAATACATTGGAACGGGTGAAGGGAGAACGAAGGGGCTTTTGAGGTGTTTGTGAGGGTGAACCTGGAGATACGCTTATCAAAGCTTCCGACCAGGCAGGGAGAGACTTCGAAAAGTGGAAAAGGCTAAGGTCCAAAACGGACCCATGTCCTGCGTCAAAGATTCGAATCATCCCCTACCCTGGCCTACCCTTGGAACTTTCCAACATCATCAAACTCATGAATAACCCTCCCCCTTCTGGTGACGAAGGAATCTGTTGCCGTCCGACACGATGCGAAGCTCCTGAAGCAAACGCCCGACTCAGCCCCAATTCACTTCTGTTTCAGGGATTGTTCAAGGATCCCCACGACCGATTGGACTGGGCGCACCCAGACATGACCGGTGGGGTGGTTCCAACAGAGGTGAGTCAGAACCCGAACGTTCGACTATCCCAGTTGGGTACCCCAGTGAGGTCCTAGTTCAGGTCACTATCCACCTCTCTTGGTGGTTTCAGGGGTCCATCTATGGAGCATATGCCAGTCCCATTAGTCGTGGCGATGACTGCAATCCTCGGCCCTGGGCCGAACAGCAGTTCCAGCCACTGCACCCCAGCCAAGCCGCCAGCCACTGCCCCCCTAAAGCAAACAGACTGGTACGATCTTAACGTCTTAACCAAGCCAACAAAAACCTGGTGTTGACCACTCCAAAAACGCACCTGACCTGGTCACCGACAAAAATGACCTTCGACCTCGTCCCCACGCCCACGCTCCCGTCTTCAGCCAAGGGCACGTGTGACAAGTCTTCTGGGCGCCCACGAAGTTGTCCACGCCTTCATGTACCTTCCAGTCTCCGCTGGATCGCAAGCCGTCAGACGCAGGCCGACGACACGTGCGGCCGCGTTAGTTTTTTTTGGCGACTCAGGCGACTCAGGCCAGCTGGGTGCAAGGATACTGGGCATCCTTTGGAGAGTGCTGGTACAGACATAGATGATATAGTAAATAGATGATCGATCCAATATGACAAGGACAATTCATGACAATTCACCTAATTGCACACTGGACTATCGACTGATCAGTTGGAGTGGTTGAAATCAGGGCACAATGTACTGCATATTGAACTGATCCTGCTGTTAATTTTGGGTCACTATGCTGCCTGAACTGGGCCCTGGCCCTGGTGACAAATTCGGCACCGTTTTGTCAAGTCTTTCCCCACAGTGACCTTGGTTCCCTTGGGGAGCTCAAAAGTGCCTTGCTATTCACCTAGAAGGGCGCCGTGTTTCCGCCGTTGACACCGCGGTTGACCCGCCGTTCGACGCTGTTGACGAGTCGGCGCACGTTGGTGAGCAAATAGCGGGCACCCGTCTGGGCAAAGCGCTGGATCGCGCGCAACGCATCCTCTGCGGTGGCGCAGCAGGTGCGTGGAACATGTCACTCAAACACAACCAATGGAACTACCAGGACCCTCCAGTCGGGGTACCCAATGGAAGCCTATAGGTAGTGTGGGGTAGTCCATTGGACACCCCTTGGAGGGTCCTGGTATATGCCTCTTATTTATACCGTAATTGGGGTAATTTCAGGGGTGCATGCAGGCATGTTTCATCGTGCATGGCAATGCATGCTGCATAAATATAACAGAAACTGTCTGGGTCATGTTGGGGTCGAGTTGATGTACCCGTGCCTTCGCATGCCAGACAACTCACGGTCCCAGGAGGTGCGTCGTGCGTCGTGTGAATGTCATGGGCCAGTCCTCACGCACGTCACAATCCCAGACGCGACCCATGGGACTGCCATAGGACTGCCGATCAGGCCAGGGGTGGTTTCGCGGGCCAATGTGGGCGTATATGGCATATAGTACAATTTCATTCAGCTTGTTTCACCCCAAAAATAGCCAACCCATTTGTTTTAAATGGCACACTTGCCCTGCCCTGCCGCATGGCTCTCAATGCTAGGTCTCTCAACACCGAGTCGGTCGCTGCGATCCTTCGGATCGCTCACATCGGTCGCTTCCACGGCCCCGTCGACCCACAACCAGGTCCCACTCCGTCCTCAAGGTGCATGTGGTTCACCCTGGGCACGGTCGTCGTCCGTCGGCGGACCGCGACCACAGCGACCGACCGGCCCAGCTGGACGCTGGACGCCCGGCTTTGGGGTGCAAAAACGGACGTCCCTGGATCACCTCCACTGGGTGATTTGACACCCCTGGCACCGGGGTGGCCCTGGTACTGAACTTCAATGGTGATACGTAACCCTTTTCTATACTTTTCTTGACTGAAAACCCCTCAACTTTGGATTCGCGAGGACGGGACCGTCCAGACTTGGTCGCCCAAGACGGCGACTCGACCGGACTCGACCGACCTTCCTGGGCCCCCAGTCCCACCAAACCGAAACGAAGGCACGACTGGAGCCCATCCGGGTGAAGCAAGTCTGATCAAGCCATCCCTCAGCTCTCCCTACGTCCCTATCTCTCCCCTTCTCGACGGCTTGTGTTCCACCTTGTGTTCCACCTTCCAGTCGTGTCCAAGGAAGGCAACCCATTGAAATGTGCCAAAATGTCATTCCAATGCTTGGCTGCAATAAGTTTTCTGCGCTGGTCGGCTGGTCAGGTCTGAGAAAGAAATATGAGATAAACATCGAGTGGTTGACAAAACCTATGGCTTGGAACTGGGTCAACCGGTTATTGGCTGGCCTCCACAGGTTTGTTTGTCAGGTCCGACGCTTAAACACTGAAGCTGTCACGTGCGGCTACTCAAAAAAACAAAGTATACTAGAAGATACTAGAAGTATATATAAATTGACGCACATCTTAACTCAACAAAGAAAAACGCCTCAAAAATAGAACACCTCTCTGCACCCGCTCGTGACAATGAGGGCTGGTCAAAATTAGTGGCCCCTGCGACAGGCCGACAATCAGAACTTTGACAGTATGCCCATCCCCAAGTGCCAAATACATCAGACATTTTGACCGCCCTCAGAAAGTCTGTTGGTGACTAAAAGGATCTAAAAGGTACACAGGCACAATGAGTTTATAGTGTCGAACTGACCGATCACTTCATCACTTGTGCCATTTCCCTTCAGAGAGGAACTTTGCCCTCGAATTCGGCATCTTCTTCCAGCCACATCTCTTCAGAGAGAAACTGCCACCCGCATCAATGACTTTGCGCTCTACCAGGGGGGGGGGTGGCTATCGTGAACAGTCACCTGCAGCTTGGAAGACCCTAAGACGACTACGCCATTGAGAGCTCTTAGCCCGACTGCGATCTTCTTCGAACTCACGAGCAAGTGGATCTCCTAGCCGGCCCCGCCACCCAACGGACCAAACATGGAACCCAAAAAGCATGGCAAAGGTTGGGGTGGCCCCTTTTCCTCGGCTCCAGCCAAAGATCTTCCCCAGAAGTTGGTGTTTTGACCCTCCATGATGCCGTCACCAAATGCTCACCACATCCCAAAAAAGGAGGTCCTTTGCGGAGACCCTCTCCATCTTGTGGAGCCCCAAGGTCTTGAGCAATTCCCCAAGCTCCGCATCCGAGTGCAAGAAGATCGGGCTCATCGTCACGATCCAGCGTGAATGGCCTGGAGGATGGAAAGCTGCGGTGGTGTGAGTTGGTTTCAAGAAACAAGCAGCAAGCAGTGTTAAACGAACACTTGGAGCGGAGTCCTGTCCTCTGGCTGGTGGCGTAGCCAGAAAGGGATTCACTCTTGCACACATCAGCGCTTTGGAGTCCTCACTCATTCTGCCCTCGTCGCAACTCCTGCCCACCGCCTGATCGGAGCGAAGCGAGCTCCGCGCGAAGCGAGCTCCGCGTCGAACTACCGCGGCCTGAAATCAGCACTCCCATGAGCCAGAAATGGCAGGCGGCGATTGGTAGATGGGCTGGGAAGTGACCAGAGCTAGTGGGAAAAGAAGGAATCCGTACAAATCCATGTCAGACTTCGATCAGATTTGTCATTGCTCGGATTCCACCGGATCATCTAATGTAGACTCTCGATGAATCAACGGTGGGGAAAAACACCACACTCACTTTCGGTGGCCGTCCACCCACTTCCCCCAAACAACAACAACAACAACAACAACAACAACAGCAACAGCAACAGCAACAGCAAATAACAGCAACAACAACAAATACAAATGAAGCCATCTCCCCATTAAAAAGGACGTCCCCCCAAATGCTACCGCCCCAAATGCTACCGCCACCGCCGAATGTCCGGACGAACGGTCCGCCACCGAAAGGCCGAATGGCGCCGAATGGCACGCGCCGCCGCGACATCTGGGACTCCCGTGCGTCTCCTTGGAGAAGATCAACTGGGCACCCCTGGGCAGCGGCAGCTCTGAGAGGTCCTGAGAGGACTTCGAATCGAACGAGCCGAGCCGCGAGCCGAGCCGGGAGCGGACGAACCGGTGCCACGCGTGAGAGGGGGAGCGAGGCACGATCGAGGTGGGTTCCTAAGATCCAGGCTCTGTCGGAGCTGGGCCTTGGATCTTCCAAACGTTGGGGTGTGCTGAGGAGATCAGGAACGGGCTGTGTGGAGGGCTGTTAAGACTGATCCTGGGGGTGTTCTGCATTTCATGAACGTTTCGTGTTTCGTTCGCCGCCACAGATTCGTTGAAGGACTGGTTCACAGGACTGGCTCACGTTGTGAAGTGGGTGGACATAATCATGAGAAGAGCTTTTGAACCAGTCACATGGAGTTGGGTGGTTTTTTAGTCCCATCCAGTGAGCGGATAATGGGAACCCCTATCCTCCCAGTGCGGCACCCCTTTGCGACTCATTCTAGTCAATTGAGCCCAGCTCAGCTTGGAAAGATCTGCACAGAGCATCGATGCTCCGATGCTGGAACACATGACTGCGGGTGTCGTGCACAAGCTCAAAGCATACCAAAGCTACCAGCTACGAAGACTGAAGGTTTCGAGTGGAGTCAGCTCAAGTATATAATGAACTCAATGTGGTTCATGAAGGCAGACGCATCTCATGCGGGAGACCACGGGCAAGAAAGGCCCTGCTCAAGAATACTTTTTGCCACGACAACCACCACCCGCTCTGTCCGATCTATTCTGCTCTGCCCCCGTGGACCAGCTTGTTCGTTGCATCCATGTTCAAGCCATGCAAAGATTTGGAGATAGATTTAAGATGATTTAAGCATCTGAGCTTGGCAGTAAAGAAAAGCAACCTGCAAACGCATCAATCCCAATGTGGCTCACTGAGCTTGGAATGGTCAGGCTTCTCAAAGAACTGCAATACCTGAAGGCACTATCCCCAATGTGGGTCACGGAGTCTGGGATGGTCAAGCTCTCCAGAGAACTGCAACCCTAAAAGGCACCATTTTCGATGTGAGTCACAGAGTTTGGAATGGTCAAGTCTACCAAAGACGTGCAACTCCTAGCTGTTTCAGATTCAATGTGCGTCACAGAGTTGGAGATCATCAGGCTCACCAAAGAGCTGCACTTCATAAAAGCGCCAGGCCCAATGTGGGTCACGGAGTTCGGGATGATCACTTTGGCCAGCATGCCGCACTCGGAGAAGGCACGATCAGCCATGCCATGCGGGTTTGGTCGCCCGGGAAACCAACGATCGCAAAGAGCTCCGGTCGTCAAGTTCACCGCTAGAGCTGCCAAGTCCCTGTCGGTCAGAGCATGTCACGCAGGGACTTGCTTTGCTGAAGACTACATTGACGGGCGAATCTGCCAGCCTCGCCTCCTCCACCGTCTCATCATTGCGTAGCCGATCTCCAACAACCTCCACGAAGCTGTACTTTTGCTTCATATTCTCGAAGCTGTACTTCTTTGATCCACTGCTTTAGTTCCCTACCTGTCATCTCTGGTGTCAGCTCCAAATAAAATATATCGCCATTCACCTGCTGTGCTGAGAGTCTCATCGCGTGCTGGGAGTCTAGATGTCACCGTCTGCTAATTGATATGCCTTTGATCGCGCACCTAAGTGATCTTGGGTGTGCTTTCTCCCTTGTAGCTAACCCCCCCCCGTGTTGAAGACGTCTTTTGTTTTTGTTGGGTTCGGACCCTCACAAATACTCAAGGTGGACCTGTAGGAGTCTGCTGGGATCGAGGTCTGATCAGCTTTCTGCATGACGAGGGTGCTTCTCCTCCCTGACTATCCATCGCTCAGCCGCCGGAAGTGCAGTCTACCCGCTGCTCCGGAAAACCACGACCGGGAATCAAAGGTCTTAACTAACGGCATCAAAATATTTCAGAGACACCTCAGGGTGTTTAAGACTACAATGTTACAAAACAAAGAAGGTGGTCAGACCAGGTTCGTTTCACTTTCTCGATCGTATGCAGGATCGTCACGGTCACGTCGTCACGTCTCTCTGTTCCCTCGAACGGGGTCGAATGACTCGAACCGCTGCGGATTCGGCGAGTCCACCGTGTACCAAAGCATCATGTACGGTGCTCCACCCGACTCGGAGTGCTTTGCTTCACCGGTGTTTCCGTTCTTCCGGGAATTGGTCTCCTATATCTGCTTGGCCAGGAGGGTGGTACATGGATTGGTGGTGAGGGTGTGGCTTTGTAACATTCTGTCATACATAGTACTGGGATGGTCATGGTCCCCAAGTCCACCAAAAAGCACGTCTCTTTTGACCACTCCAGCTGTTGCCAAGTGCAACAAACGGCCGTGCTACACAGCACAGTGCACGCTTTGCCGCTGTGCTTTTGTCACTTTAAATCTTGTTCTCGGGCATGTTCTGCATGGATGCAATCCATGCGCCAGAATGTTGGACATGTCTGCATCTCAACTCAGAATCTAGTCATCATCCGGGCCCATCTAAGAGCGTTCATGAATCATGGTTTTGCGAGACTGACCCCAAAAGGGTTATTCCAAGCTACTTCGCAGTAGCACCCCTTGCCGAAAGTCACGAAGAAGAAGTGTTCGATTCCTCCTTTCAAGGAGTGCACGATAAATGCATGGAAGCCCAAACATGTCTTGCTCGATATCTGTGTGTTTCTTTTGGGGTGATGGAGAATGTGCAAGAAAGCTCCCTGGCCATTTCTGCTTGCTTCCAGGTGAATACTCAAACCATATTAAACTCTTCCAACATGCCATCTGGCAACGATTCCATCCAAAACCCTTCGCAAACGACGTCCTGCTGCAGCCAACTGCCGTGCTGACTGCCAGGCACGGGTGGGTTCCGCATGTGAACTAGTTCACAACAACACCGCTTCTGGAGACCGTGGCCCCCGGGGCAGACTGGCCCTCAAACAACCACGAGACTCGGCCGCGCAGATGAAGGAGGTCGTCCGTACTTGGCTTTCACCGAGTCAAAGGCGGGCTTCTTGCGGCGATAGGCATCGACCACACCTTTGTGGTTCAGTCCACCTGGCCCAGGGGGCGTTTTTGGTTGCGGCGATGGGCGTCCAGAAAGCCCCGAAGACGGAGGGGTCAAAGACAGGAGGGGAGATCCGTCTCTGTGTGGCCGGTGGGCGGTTTTTGGGACCTGGTTTTGGGTCTTGTGGCTGTGGCGCCCAGTTTCGCGGATGGATGGGGAGTTGCGCATGTTTGGCGCTGGAAGTCCAGTGTGACGATCTTTTAAATGGCTGATCTGTTTTGTTTCTAAGCATCGAATGTAAAATCCTTAGTAAAACAGCTGGTGGTTCGGTAAGTAAAGGCGATTATTACAACCATTCAACAATATATAATCCCTGGGAGTCAAAGACTATAAAAAGAATGGTCTTTAGCGGAACTGAAAGGGAACATCCTTTACTTCAGCTGGTCAAAATATAGTCTTTGGACTTCTAGGGAATATATAATGTTCGAAGGATTTCGAAGGACTTACTTTTCAAGCGACCATCATTCGGTGCGGTGCTTGCTGACATCCAGCGCCCGAACCGAACCGCACGGATGTGTCTCCTCGACCGAGTGACACCGTTTCGTCCCACCGAGATCCCATCGACGGAGAGGTTCGCAGGAGAATCATTCCTGACCCGTCGTTCCCCCATCGCCCAGGTCTGGACTCTTCACCATAACCCTCCCTTCGAATCGACCCAGTCTCTGGACAGCCCGGTCATCACCACTTTAGGAGGCTGTTGTCTAGACACCTCGACTGGTGGAAGGTCCTGGGATGAATTCATTTGCAAACGGATGGGCGCCCATCCTCAGATCCACCGAAACCAGTCGTGAAGGTGGTGTGAAGGGGTGTCCCACGTTCCTCACCTCTTGACAGATACCTCAAAGAGGAAGGTGCTGGAAGGTGCTGGGTGTGAATTCAAAAAGGGCGCTTTCCTGCTTTCCCAATGAGGGACTCTATTTAACTATTTCGCTTCTTCCAGGGAGGCATGGCCTGGGAGGTTTCCCAATATACACACCCCCATACCAGCACCCTCCCTGCCAGGATTTGCCAGGTCTACTCTGGAAGCTTTGGTGACGTTTTCTATTTCGCAGGTGGTGACCTGTGAAGTCGGGTGCTGGTACATAAGTATCCAGGATGGTCTGGGTGGAAATCCTGTCAGATGAACCTCAAAACGAGACTCTCCTATGGATCCAGGGGACCTATGGAAAACCAATGGATAAATTGGACATACTGGCTGCATGCCTATACTGGTCCATTGCCTTTGTAGTATTACCTGTTACACTACCTGTTACCTGTTGGAGGTTAATACCTATCGACTATCCAACTGTGCAACATGCATGCCTTCTTTTATTGATATTTATAAAAGCAGCCATGTTCGGCAGATGTTCCTTCGCATGTCGTTGGAAGATTGATCGGTCTTCCAGTGTCCGCCGCCGGTTCATTAGACCATCTTGCAGGTGTTTGAGCTATTCCACAATCCAGAGGAGATCGGACTACATATCAAAGATATACTGGACCCTGCAAAGTCCTCTAGAAAATGGGACATGACCTCATAAAAACAGGCCGGTACAAGACTACCCATTTTCCGAGGTACTAACGGGTTGACTCCAGGTATATAACACTGCTGTGATCGGACTACCCCTAATTATGACCTCTCTGGGACTGGGACAGGCACAGTTCCTTGATGATCCTTGTATCGGGTGGTTGGTATTGGAGGCTGACCCTCCAAGGGTGTCTCTAAATAGCATGCCTATAATTTGCCTATCTTGATTTCTTAAGAGGTTGAGGATGGTTATGCGGAGTGTCAAAAAAAAAACCACCGGGCGATGTTGGAAGCGATGTCGGAAGGTCCCTATAAATCGATGCCGCCTTGGATTTTAGTGCTTTTCGACCACCAGTGCTTTGAGTGCTGCATCTCTTCTTGGATATGCTGTCCAAAAAGCCGGGAAAAGTAAAACAAATTCCATCTAGGAGGGTATTTGTCCACGCAAAAGCTCCGTGAACGACGTCCTTTCCCGGTCCCGAACCAAACCGATT